ACATTGGTAAGTGCCCTCTAATGGCCACAGTGAAAAAGTGTCTGAATTCGGATTTCGCATCCCAAAAAGCCTCCGGATACCAATTTTTGAAGTGATACGTTGAAAAATGTTCACAAATTTTCAAAAAATCGATTTTTATTTTTTCACTTCACCACCCTGTATTTCGGAAATAGAGCGATTTTGGACTGAGGTAAGTTGCTTGATATCGGCTTATTTTGACCTCAGGATTATGTGCTGAGATTTTGAACAGAACTTTTAGGGACACCCTGTATAACCTCAATATATTTACGTTGGATAAAACGTGGAAGGTTAGGTGAGTTAGATAAGTCTCTTAGAATGGAATGGAATGATTTTTTTCTGATTGTTGATTTGCACAGTGCCTGGACTATATCTACTCTCGAGCATATCGCAAGAACTGTACTTTGCATAGTTACATTTATCGATGATTTGTCAAGCAGCAACTTCAGTCTTCAGCAAGAAATACCCATCAAACACCATGGACGAAACGCGAGAAGAGTCATTTGGTGTCTTGTGTCGTGGTCCTGTCGTTTTTTCGAACATGTGTACAGTGTTGCCGTTTGCCATATAATTATCAGATTTCTATTCGGATTTTAACTATCGAAGGATAATTTTTATAATTCGTGATAATTTCGGATAAAGGTTATTTTGAAGCTACAAGGGTGTTATTATAGTGTATACAAGAGATGACCTGGGAGAGCAAGGAACCCAGAAAGAATTGTTCTATGGTAAAAATGCGCAGCAGGCGAAATAGTTTATAGGGGTTCAAGGTTGAATTCCTTCAATTCTCATTTTGTTGTAATTGATATCAAATGATCTGGAGATAAGTACAAAAAGAAGAGCATCGAGTGGAATGTATTTTTTACAGTCTGTAGGTTTACCTCATATTTTCTTGAATGTAGTAGAGACAGACAGCTGTCACTGATTATTAGATGTTATTAGTAAGAGATATCTCTTTTGAATTTCTGAAACATTTTCAACGCAGTCACATTTTTTGACAATCAATATCTATGGAGAAGGAATATTCTCATATATATTATGAACATATACATATAAAGAAATAGATTGAGAATTCTTGTATTTTCTTACTGATAAAAATATTAATTCTTTATCGATATTTTCAACCAGAAAACAACTAATTCCCTGGCAATAAGCCACTTTCAGATAAAAATATATATATGTATCTAATATCATTCGGAATATTCAACAGAAAACAACTATACAATGAAAAGTACTTTGATAACGAAATAACGAGAATAAAGAAACTTTATGTGAATATAAATAAGTAAAATAGTACCTTAATAAGGTCGAAGCTATGTAAATTATTGGTCTCAAGGTGATCATGATTTTTATCAAGCGAGGAATAATGACTGATTTTTCCAAAATGGGCAAAGACGCCGATTTTTACATTCACATCTAATATTATAATGCATGATGTATCAAAAATTCCACAATAGTAGATAACATTTCAATTCAAAGTACTGATGAATGTTTGATGTTTCGTGACATGATGACAATGAAAAATGAATTTTCCCAGCATGGAACTGGATTTTCATTCTCATAGAATGCCATCTTGGGAAGCCTTGAATGGTGATACATCGCCAGCAACGTTTTGATGAACTAAATAACACTTTTTTAATTTTGCTAAGTCGGATAATTTCGGAGTAGCGATCGGATAATTTCGGCTTTCGCTTCCGGGTTTTGGCAACACTGGCATCAATAGTTATGCGATGTGGCGCGGACAATGCTGAAGTGGGTTCAGAGGCAGAGTTTCAGGAGTACCAATAAGAGAGAAAAAGAAAGTGCGATTGTACCGGTGAGTTTCCATGTTTTCAAGACCGTGCCCAGGATTTTGTTTCAGGGGGTCCCAAGAAAAAAAAAGAAATGCTAGTTCATTGTTTTTTTCGAAGAGAAGGAAAAAGTCGGATTTCATCAATATATCATACTTTTTCAACTTTAGGCTAATTTTGTGTCTGAAATATCCATCATTGGTCAAAACGACTCACATGTCTCCTTCTTAACTTTTGATCAACTATCTACTGACATTTAATTGTAGCAAATTGTAGCAATACAGGGTGGGTCATGATTCAGATTTCCGATCACCCTGTACCTATCTGTTCCAATTATAAAATGTCAGTAGGGTCATGAAAGCCGTTTTGACCAATAATGAATAGTTTCGACACAAAGAAATCCTAATGTTGAAAAATCTCGATTTTGAACAACCTACATCTCTGTAATCATTCCAGCTAGATCGCAAATGTGATATATTGATGAAGTAAGCTCTTCAGGGAAAATCTAAAAGTGCAATGAAATACCCTGTATTCCATTCGAAATAACAAAGTTATGTTGCTACTTTCTAGTAGAAGCGGCAACACTGCAATGCCGAAAATATTTTAAAATAAGTGAGCGTAATCTCAATTATAAGCATTCATTTCTTGCGACTGCAATGCGACTACAATGCCGAAAATATTTTAAAATAAGTGAGCGTAATCTCAATTATAAGCATTCATTTCTTGCGACTTATTATCGATATAGAAAGCTCGTCGTGACATATATACATTCATATATATATATATATATAAAGTATGCTGTAATATTTCAAAAAACACAATTTGAATACCCAAAAATTACATAAAACGTTCAAACATAGCCTCGAACATAGCATTCGACAGCACCAGTGCCTAACCTAACCTGATAATCCCTTTCCCTGTGTTGCCAGCTGTCTCATTTAAAGGATATATCGAATAAATATTTTTCAATCTTCTCCAACTGTGAACTAGATTTTGAACACCCTATATCTTTGTTATAATTTATGCTATACCCCAAATAAGTGTGATGTATTGATGAAATCAGCTCTTCAGGGAGAATCTGAAAAAACAATGAAATTCAGGGTGTTCCATTTGAAAAAATCAACTAGTACCCTGTAGATCGTTTGTTCTGAGTACCCTGTATTTCCTGATGAAGCGGAAAAAAATATCAAAATTCACATTGTACAGGAAGTCCTATTTCCGTATAATATAGAAAAAAACTTATGTCGGTGTCTGTTGATCAATTCACATAACAAACTCAATGGTGAAAACCGCATATCGATATCTACCTCTATTTCACAGTTACAAGGTGTATTTCGAAAATGTGAATTTTTGAAAAGTGGCTAAAATTCTTTTTTTTATTACAAAAATCCTTTGTTTCTATGAAAACATTTCTAAAGCATTGTGTTTGTCATGAAAATTGATCTTCAGGCATTGAAATCAGTCACCGTATACCTAGTTGCAAAATAGAACTTTTCCTTCAAGAAGAACAAGTTATATTCTTGAACTAGATATATTAAGGCCGATTTCAGTGCCTCAAGAACAATTTTTATCACAAACTCAATGGTTTTCAGTTATTTTCATGAGAACAGACAATTTTTGCCAAAAAAATATCTGTAGCCACTTTTCAGAAATGCCTATTTTCGAAAAACACCTTGTAACTCCGAAACGAAGTCAGATATCGATATGCGGTTTTCACCATTGAGTTTTTCATCAGAATCAACCCTCAGGCACCGAAATCAGTTTTCTTCCATCTGTTTCGAGAAAAGGACTTTTCCTTTAAAAGTGTCCAATTTCGCTCACCCTGTACACTTTTGGGAAATCAGTAGATGATTCAACAAGAATTTGTAGTCCCAGTAGGTCTACAACAATTTCTTAGTTGAATTATTGAAAGTATTCGTAGTCAAATAAATCATTATTGACATTGTGGATATGATCAAACACAGCACAGTATTGTTTCAGAAATATTGCAGGAATATGGTTCAGACAGATTTTTTTGTTTTATTGCAAAACATTGATGAAATATTCCAGAAATATTGCTTAAATATCTAAATGTCCGCCCCAAAATCTAACATGAAATATTGCAGATATATTTGATAATATATCCGAACAATATTGCAGAAATAATATGCAATATTTAATCTATATTTGAGATACTATATATTGGAAATTTTCATATACAGGGTGTCCCAAAACAACATATAATGAATTATACAGGGTGGATTAGAATTGGAGGATATTTTTTTCAGATAGACTTGAATATTCTGGAGTCCTTCAAAGGTATATATCTTTTTTTCTATAAATTAGCATTTTGTTGTAAATGACAACTTGTGGCGGGCGAAGTGCTGATTTGGCGAAAGACTGAGGACTGAGTGACACCGACCGTGAAAAACTTCAAATGTCAAATTGTTAGTGTCACCCGTGCCTAAATCGCACAATGTAGTCAATTCTCATTGGCCGCAATCAGTCGGAAATGTATCATATGCTCCATTGTGACCAATGAAATCTTCATTATATGTCACGTGATCGATTTGAACAATAAGGATTAGGAATACAATATCTGTCGAAACCATAGATTAATAGTATTATATAAGTGGTATAATGATATACTCAATATTATATGATTTCCATGGCCAAGACAATGATGTCAAAACCATATGGTGTCAAAACTAGAGTCAAAATCATAAATTTATAACCATATAACTGAGTTCCATTGGTAAAACCAGTGCACACTCATTTATATTCTGTCATTCATCCTCGAATGAACATTTTATCTTTCTGGAAAATGATTCAATATTCAATATTGCTGCAATATTTCATGAAGATTGCATGATTTATCCAAGAAACAATCGATGATTTCAAGCGATATCTTGATATTATAATGCAGATATAAAAAATAAACTTGTCGATGAACGTCGCAATCATATGACAATACAAATTAGTGTCATTGCAGCAATATTTCGAAATATTGGAATTGCAATATACCAATTCGATATTTCTGCAATATATCTGAAATATTGCGAATGTAACTGCAATATTGTAATATTGTGGCAATATTTGTTGAATATTTCGTGCTGTGTGGGATAATGAATTGATAACTTCATTTAATCGCATTTATTTCAAATGCATTTTGATTTCTCGAAAACATTCAATGTTTTTTCTCGTTTTTTCCAGGGTTCCGATCCGCGCGTGGCGACATGCCGCGGCAAGCTGCAGAACCGCCGGTCGAAGCTGAACCAGGAGATCAACAAGGAGCTGCGGCTGCGCGCTGGAGCCGAAAACCTGTTCAAGGCAACCACGAACAGGAAGCTGCGCGAGACGGTCGCCGTCGAGCTCAGCTTCGTCAACTCCAATCTGCAGCTGCTCAAGGAGCAGCTGGCCGAGATGAACTCCTCGGTGGAGTTATATCAGAGCGACAGGTAACAAAAATATATTGCCAACAAGGAGAAAGCAAAATACTCAAAGTGGAATGCAGTGGCGTAATTAAGGGGGGGTCCATGGGGTCTGGACCCCCCCCCCAGAGCTGTCTGAAATACGGAAACAATCTGGTAAACATTTCTGGTGACAATTTGTATTGAAAAAAGTTTGGAGAAGAGAAATAAAAGTATATAGAACAAAATTTGATATTTTTCTATACAGTGTGTCCCACTTACCATGCTCACCATGGGTATCTTTTTAACGTTGAGAGATACGAGGTCGGTTCAATGACACCAAATGTGGAGTTTGTCATGGCCAACTATAATGTGAAAAAATATCTTGATAAGATCTATTCGTTTTTGTTTTATACGCAAAAAACAGATTTTGATCATTTTCATGTCTCCTCCGTAACTTCTTTATTTATGAAAATATTCAAATAGGAAATTCACGTTCTTATGGCAGTTTTTAAAAGTGTTTTAGAAAAAAATATGAAATTTATACCAACTCTTCTAGAATTTGAGATATCAGCACCAACTTTAGTTTTTCAAATGTAGGTCATGGCTCACTATGACTTAGTACCAAATAACTTTTTTTTCTCTTACAGATGATATGTCGGAGTAATAGTTTTGTGTTGATAACAGCGGAGTTATCGTCATTTATACAGAAACAAAAAATTATTTGGAAGCCGCCATCTTGAATTTATAAATTTCAACAGGAAAATCATGATTTCCGACCTCAAAATCCCCCACTCACCAATTTTGAATGGAATCGGGCCAAATCTTGACAATACATTATGGAATTTCTGTTGAAATTGAAAAAATGGCTGCTCCAAGATGGCGGACAAAATTTGGTCCGATTCCATTCAAAATTGGCAAGTGGGGGTTTCTGACGTCGGAGATCATGATTTTTTTTGTTGAAATTTATAAATTCAAGATGGCGGCATCCAAATACAAATAGTAGTATCAACACACAACTATTACTCCGACATATCATCTGTAAGAGAAAAAAAAGTTATTTGGTACATTTGAAAAACTAAAGTTAGTGCTGATATCTCAAATTCTAGAAGACTTGGTATAAATTTCATATTTTTTTCGAAATCACTTTGAAAAACTGCCATGAGAATGTGAAATTCCTATTTGGATATTTTCATAAATAAAGAAGTTACGGAGGAGACATGAAAATGATCAAAATCTGCTCACATTATAGTTGGTCTTGACAAACTCCACATTTGGTGTCATTTAACCGACCTCGTATCTCTCACCGTTAAGAAGATACCCATGGTGAGCATGGTAAGTGGGACACACTGTATACCTTTATTTCTCTTCTCCAAACTTTTCTCAATACAAATTGTCACTGACAAGCTAGTAAATTTTTCTTTTAGGCTCTCTGATAGGAAAATTCTCAAACGCAGTGACATTTGGGGGCAAATCATCTGATTTGTCCTTACTACACGTATATTGAAATAATATTCATATTTTTATTTTATAGAAACAAGGAGAGAAAATCCCAAAAAATCTGGAATAATGAATATTACACAACTCCTCGATTAACCTACAGACAGTGTTTATCTTTCATTGCATTGCATATTTGATTTCTTCATTATATTTTGTTTTTGTTTTCTTCTATAAACATTGTCGTATGTTTCTGGGAATCGATAAATATGTCATTATTAAATGAAGGCCATATTTGATTTTCATTAATAAATCAGATATCCTGTAAATTGGCCTGAAGATCAAATCAAACAAATAATACATCGGAAAGAAAAATTGATCTAAATGATCTATACGGTACTGTCATAATCATGGTCAATTCGGAATCTATTGGGCACGTGAGAAACTCCAACGTACATAGTCGACGAAGAATCGAGATTCTCATCATCACCTGATCGAAATCTAGAGATACAGTTTCAATAATTCAATTAACGGTTTCTCAATTACACATATACCTAGCTACATATTTCCGTTTACACGGAAACGATATCGAGCACCACTGATCCATTCCTCATTCAATATATAAATACCCACCTAGTTGTAAAACTGACCTTGAGTGCGAATATTTGTTTTAAATTAATATTGATAACGGTCGTTACAGTTCCATGGCAATAATAATAGTCTTGAACTAATCGAAGGTTGGATGGTTGATTGTAATAGCTATTAAACTATCAAGGGAGACAAGGTATCCATTCCCTCCCGCGTGTGAAGTTTGATGCATAACGCGTAGCGGAGGGCAGTAAACACACATGGGAGAAAATGAACCTTTTTCCCATGATATATATCAGGTGTCCCAGTTCCAATAACTTATCTCAGCCATTTCAAAAGATGAACATTTGGGAATTACATGATCTACTTCAATTCTAATAATTTGAAATTATTATTGAAGTCAAAATCAAGATTACAAAAATATCGTAGCCTACTGCAATTCGTTCAATTTGAAATTTCAATTGTCGTTCTCTCCATCGAATCAAATTTATATACTACATGCTACGTTTCTAGCTGATAACTTGAATATTTTAATAATTACTTTTGCATAAAATCTTACAGACTTGAGTGTTGTATATTTTTTAAACAGTTTTCGAATATATCATGTTTTTTTCCGTGAGAATTTCGCCATTTATATGTCTTTGATGATATCTCATGAATTAAACTTATTATAAAAAGTTTCTGTTTATAATCATGAAGTAAATACATCTAAAAACTCATTTCACATACAAATCTGGAAATATTCCTATCGATTTTATTATTCGTGTTTCTGAGATGGGGTACATCAGACCCCACCAGGTGAGAATGTACCGGGTTAAGATACTATTCAACTAATATGTATTTATCTGGAATGCGAGGTAAAAAATTCATAACAATGAGTTTGGTTATGGGTTTCCTTCTCGTCTCCATGAATATAATAATAATGTCTGACATCACCATCCCCACCAAGCCCACCATATCTATGCTCGGTATTTCCATCAGCAACACTCTTTCATGGGATAATCATGTCAGATCCATCGCAAAAGCTGCTTCACAAAAACTCGGATTCTTGTTCCGTGCGAAAAGCTACTTTACACCTCAACAGCTTATCATGATCTACAAAGCGCAGATACGGCCTGTTCTAGAATACTGTTCCCACATATGGGGTTCAGCACCAAAACATACGCTGATGCTCTTAGATTCCATCCAGAGAAGAGCCATTCGCCTGGTGGGGGACGCCACACTCACTCACTCTTTGACATCATTGGAACACCGTAGAAAGGTCGGCGACCTTTCACTTTTCTATCGATACTTCGACGGGAAATGTTCTTCGGAAATCTCTGCTATCATCCCTTCACTAGCAATACCAGTCAGACGAACTAGACAAGCCCAATCATCACATCCTTTCGTTGTCAACCTCGAAAGATGTCGAACAGCACTTTATCAAAACTCCTTCATCCATAGAACGGCTAGGCTCTGGAATTCATTGCCTGATGAGGAAGTATTCCCAATAACATATAATCTCCAGAAGTTCAAAAAAAATTCCAATACCTACCTCCTGTCCCTATCCTCCCTAGGAACGCACGATGTTCTTTGAACATTATAGGGATTTCCTTTCGTGCGCTCCAAGCGATAAAAAAAAATTAACCTGTGATGAGGACAAATCAGATGATTTATCGTGAAATGTCACTGCTCTAAATATGTCACTAATTAGGATAAATTTAATTGATAGTCAGTGACACCTTGTTTGAAAAATGTTTGAAGAAAAAAATGATACCTATTGACATATACAAAAATATCACAACTTCATTTAGCTTTTAACCTTCCGAGTACAAATCTGCTTCCGTTCAAAAAAAAGCACAATCTTGAGATGGAATTGAAGAAAAATCAGCTTCATAGCCTTGATAATGAAACTTCGCTCAACAGTCAACGGCGCACCGGTATAATAATACTATAGGTACTATTAACATATTTCCGTTCAAATAGCCACGGGGCTTCAGCTTGGCCTGACCCACATCCGTATCATTTCTCTCAATATCGCATCGCTCGGCCGTGCAATTTATACAGTGTGCCGCTGAAAAATCGAGAGGTATTTCTTCTGAATGGAATTTTTTGTTTCAATTCAATGTCTGGTGCTGACCTTCTCATTTTTTCAATCTTCATCGAGTCAATCATAGGAAAAAAGTGCGGGGGCCGTCTTTGGTGACTGCTTATAGAAGTTGAAAATAAGTCGAGCTATGAGATTATTATTTTTCTACCCCATTTTAGATCTGTTGAATCCCCCAACTTTGAACTCCACATACAAACTTTTAATAGAATATCGGATCATAATTACGAATCTCGTCCGCCATATTGGATCTGCTATCTTGAATTTCCCAATTTTGACCCAATTTTGACGATGGAATCATAATCTCCGACCACGAAAAACCTCAGATAAGAATTTTCAATAGAACCGGGTCATAATTACAAAACTCGTCCGCCATATGAAACCCGCCATCTTGAATGTTGCAATTTTGACGAAAGAATCATAATCTCCGACCCCAAAAACCACAAGATATCAATTTCGAATAGAATCGGATCACAATTACAAAAATTGTTCGCCATATTGGTTCCGCCATATTGAATTTCCAAATTTTGACGGAAAAATCATAATCTCCTACCCTGAAAACATCCAGATACCAATTTTGAATAGAGTCAGATCATAATTACATGGGCGTCATTTAGGGGAAAAATTTAACCCCGCCCCCCTATTTAATATAAAAAACAATTTCACAAAAAATCTTCCTGTATCAATACCGAAACAGACCGGAAACAGATCAGTATAGGTACCTACTTAAAATTGGGAAAGGAATCAATTTTCTGAAATGTAAAACCTGACCCTCCAGTCATTCAAAGTGACTTTTAAAGTTAGGCAAGCCAAGGTTAGTTTAGTTCATTGTACCAGTATATCACCTGATGAAGCTACTGTGTTAGCGAAACATGTCGTGTGTATGAGAATTTTGTGGAAATCTTATCGTTCATCTTTTTTGAAGCAATACTCTTTCATGAGATAATCATGTCAGATCCATCGCGAATGGTGCTTCACAAAAACTCGGATCTTTATTCCGTGCGAAAAGCTACTTTACACCTCAACAGCTTTTCATGATTTACAGAGCGCAGATATGGCCTGTTCTAGAATACTGTTCCCAAATATGGGGTTCAGTATCCAAACATACTCTGGTGCTCTTAGATTCCATCCAAAGTAGAGTCATTCGCCTGGTGGGTGATGCAACACTCATTAACACTTTGACATCACTGGAACACCGTCGAAAAGTCGGCGACCTTTTACTTCTCTATAGATACTTCCACGGAAAATGTTCTTTAGAAATCTCTGCTATACCATTCAGAAGAACTCGACAAGCGCAGTCAGCACATCCTTCCGTTGTTAACCTCGAAATATGTCGAACAGCACTTCATCAAAACTCTTTTCTCTATTGAAACGGCAAAGCTCTGGAATTCATTGCCTGAGAAAGTATTTCCAAGAACTTCAATCTCCAAAAGTTGAAAAAACGGAATGAAAGAAATGGAAAAATACGTTTTTTCCAGTGGCACCGACGCACTAATGCCGATGATCCCGCTCGGCCTCAAGGAAACCAAAGAGATCGACTTCCGCGACCCCTTCAAGGACTTCGTCCTCGAGCACTTCAGCGAGGACGCTAACCGTCACGACGACGCCATCGCCGACTTCATGGACACCAGGCAGGCGATAAGGACGCCACTGCGGGACGGCGCCGGCGTCGCTCTGCTATTCCGCTACTACAACCAGCTGTACTTCGTCGAGAGGCGGTTCTTTCCGCCCGATCGGTCGTTGGGCATCTACTTCGAGTGGTTCGATTCGTTGACAGGTGAGGGACGGGGAAATAATGAATACGAGAAAAATTTACTTTGGTCAACACTAAAAAATCAACACTGAAAACCCAACACAAAAAATTCAACACTAAAAACTCAACATAAAAAATCAACACAAAAAGTCAACACTAAAAATTAACACATAAAATTGACACTAAAAAAATCAACACGAAAAATAGTCGAAACGGAAAGTGTTCAACACAAATAATATCGAAAAAATGGAAACTGGATGATAAACACAAAAGAACTGATCACATAAACGATGATATCAAAACAAGAACACGGAAAAATTGGAGCTAAATGAAAGACTCGAACAAAATGAACGCCAAATGAATAAAGAGCCAACTGAACACTAAAATGATGAAGGAAAGAAACCGAAGCTAAATCACAAACAGGAAATAATTAACAAAACCCTCAACACGAAAAATATCGGTAAATGTAATCTAAATAATGGACGAAAAAAAATTAATACAAAAATTATTCAACAAATTAATGGGACGGAAAAATTGAAATTAAATAATAAACACGAAAAAATAACATGATGAAACTGAGCCCTATACTAATGAAAGCAAAAGAATATTCGAAAAATTGAACACAGATAATAAACGCTAAAAGAATCAACACGAACAAATTCAAACAAAAAAATCAACACGAAAAATATACTCGAAAAAAAATGTCCACAAAAAAGTGTTCACGAAACAAAGGAATACACAAATGATTGAACGCGGAGATATTAACACTAAAAGTTAACACAAGAAAAATATACCAAAAAATGCGGAAAAAATGACGCAAAAAAATAACAACGATAAGTCGAAGGCTGTCTGGATCAACTTTTTTTCTCCAAATATACTATCACATTATTTCAGGTTTTCGAAATTGTTTTTCAGGTGTGCCATCTTGTCAAAGAACGGTGGCTTTCGAGAAAGCCTGCGTACTGTTCAACATAGGCGCCGTTTATACGCAAATCGGCGCCAAACAGAACAGATCGACGACAAAGGGACTAGACGCGGCGGTGGACAACTTCCTAAGAGCAGCCGGAACTTTCAGGTACATCAACGAAAACTTCACTAACGCCCCATCTATGGACCTGGGCCCCACAATGTTGGAAATGTTCGTACAACTGATGCTGGTAAGGAAATCATCATCGATCATTATCTTCACTCGTACAATCGCCCCCACTTTCACCCTTAACTGTAATTTCAGCTTTACCATTACTTCTATTCTTCACCTTCAACACTTTAACCTTACTTCATTTATCCACACATCTACCCCTATCAACCTTTGCATTACCTTTACTCTCATCCTTACCCTTACTCTCATCCTTACCCTTACTCTCATCCTTACCCTTACTCTCATCCTTACCCTTACTCTCATCCTTACCCTTACTCTCATCCTTACCCTTACTCTCATCCTTACCCTTAATCTCATTGCTTTTATTCTTACCTCTATTGCTTTACATCTACCTATTAGTTCATTTCACCTTTATCGTTGTCCTTTTACCTTTACCTTGAACTTATAACGTCATTACATTTTACCTCACTTGGATATGAATTCGTTTCTATTTTTAGGCTCAAGCTAGAGAATGCTTCCTACCTTCATCACTTTATAATCACTTTAACCATCACATGCAACCTCACGTTTACTCTTATCACCCTTTTCATTACTCTTACTTCATCCTCTCCTTTACTCTTACCTATATCTTCCTACCTTTATATTCACCTCTAATCCCACCTTCACTTTTATCGTTTACAGGTCACCGTTTCACCTCAACCTTCACCTTTACCATCTTACCTTTACCTTTGCCATCTTACCTTTACCTTTGCCATTAACTTCACAATTACCTTTCACCTCACTTGACCATGTTTATCCATATTGTTTCTAATTTTTAGGCTCAAGCTAGAGAATGCCTTCTCGAAAAATTACAGTTGCAATCGAGAGAAAACCGTTCTGTGGATATCTGTTTGGATTTGTCTCAAGAAGCAGCCCATTTGGCAGAATGCTATGGAGACGTCAATCAGCTCATTACTCATGATACTGTCAGAGACTATGTACCCTACAGTTGGACGTCGCTCATCCAGGTAAAATTATCTTCACATAATTTTTCCTCAATAAACTGTTTTTTTTTTATAAAAAAAAATATATTCATTATATAGGTTAAGAGAGAGTACTATACTGGGGTAGCACACAACTTCGTTTCATCTGGAGTCCTACACAAAGAAGCCGAGAGAATGTCAGAAGAAACGAAAGATACGTTGCTGTATTTACATGCAGACCCTGAACCTGCACAGTTAGATATCAGGTTACCCAAAGATTCATCCGAAAGAAGATTACTCGGTAAGAGCTACAGTGAATAATCATGAATTACTATAGGAATGCCTCAAGGCTCCATTCTAGGGCCCTCATCATTCCCGATATATAAAAATGACTTTGGGTCTCAGTAACTTAGCAATTGTGATTTGTTTTCAGGTAGGGCGCATTTGAGAGAAGCTCTAGTCTTGTATGAAGAATGTCAGAGGCTACACAGGATGTGCAGAGAGCTCAGAGGAAAGCAGGCACTGACGTCCGTCTTGAGAAACGCTCATAAGATGGCGCTGAACGCATACTCTGCCACAGAATCAGAAGACGATTTCAGCGATCTGTTGGACCCACCTCACGTTCAAGGTAAATCAATCTCTGAAATTCTTCGCAGATAATTTGGATTCTCTTTCGTACAATCCAAACGATAACACTTCTTTTTTTTTCAGCTGCCACGAAGTTCCAGCTGTCTCTAACTCCTCCCGACTTCGCGCAGTACCGCGTCAGCGACCTCTTCAAGAGTCTAGGACCTATCGCCATCTTTTCTGCTAAGAGGCATTGGACTGCCCCCAGATTGGTCCAGCTACACAGAGGCAGAACCTCAGAAGGATTCGGGTTCTCCCTTAGAGGAGATGCCCCCGTTATCGTAGCTGCAGTAGACCAACATTCCCTTGCAGAGGTAAGAATAATAATAGTAATAATATGTAAGAATTATAAGCGATAAAGACATAGATAGAGCTACGAGAGTTTCGACAGAGCTTTAGAGACAAAGAAGCTACAGAGAAAAACCTAGAATGGCAGAGCTACAGAGACATAGGTTCAGAGACACAGCTACAGAGCTATAAAGACAGATCTACAGAGACAGAGCCATAGAGACATAGCTATAGAGACAGGTCTACAGAGACATCTACAGAGACATACCTACAGAGACACATATACAGAGACAGAGCTACAGAGACAGATCCACAGAGGCAGAGCTAGAGAGACAGACTTACACAGGCAGAGCTACAGAACAGATATACAGAGACATAGCTATACAGACACACAAATACAGAGTCAGAGTTACAGAGACAGCAATACAAGGACATAACTTACGAGACACAGAGCTACAGAGACATAGCTACAGAGACAAAGCTTCAGAGACAGATCTTCAGAGACAGATCTACAGAGGCAGAGCTAGAGAGACAGACTTACACAGGCAGAGCTACAGAAACAGATATACAGAGACATAGCTACAGACACACAAATACAGAGTCAGAGTTACAGAGACATAGCTACAGAGAAAGAGCTACAGAGACAGAGCTACAAAAACCGAGCTATAGAGACAGTGCTACATAGACAAAGATAAAGAGACGAAGAGCTCATAGATAGAGCTTCAGAGACAGAGACGGAGACGACATAGACGACAGTCAGAGAAACAGACAGAGACGACAGACAAAGACGACAGACAGAGACGACAGACAGATAAAAGATGGAGTTAGGGCTAGAGAGAGATAGACAAATTCCATTTCAAGTATAACGAACACCAATAATCTTGTTTTGTTTTGATCTTCCTGAGATATAATGATGTTATGATTTTTTTTTCAGTTTGGAGGGGTGAAAGAGGGTGACTTCATAGTGGCAGTTGCTGATAAAGATGTAAAATGGTCGTCGCATGACGAAGTAGTGAGTCTTATAAAAAAGTCGGGAGAATCTTTGAGTTTGAAGCTGGTGACTCCAATGGATAGGAACTACCTAAAGGTAAAGCAAAAAATACGTCACACTACACTACACTGTACTAGTAGTTCAAGTATCTAGTAGAAATTAAATTTCGAATATCGAATGAAATGCCTGTAATATTAAGTTTGTTTCTCAAATGATCTATATGTTTATTCCACAATAGTTGTTCATCAGTATAAAGACCTAAAAATTTTGAAACCTCTGTATATTTGATTTATTCGAAATGTTCAGTGTTTTTTTTTGCTATGTATGTACATATATGAGGATTTATTATAATTGGGAGATAGTTTATGAACCAAGCGAATATTTTCTCTAAATCACTTTTCATGTCCATGATGATATTATTTGAAACTTTGGAGAAATGAATCAGTGTCGTGTCATCTGCAAATAATTCAAGATTTCCTCACAATTAAAAGTTTGATATTGAATTTATGTAGATTAAAAATGAAACTGGTCCCAAGACTGACCCTTGCGGTACACCGCATGAGATGTTCATTAAGGAGCTGCAAGTATCACATCTAACAGTTCATCATTTTCGGAGAAATAAATAAATGTCGTGTCATCTGCAAATAATTTGAGTTTTCCTCTCAATTAAAAGTTTGATATTGAATTTATGTAGATTAAAAATGAAACTGGTCCCAAGACTGACCCTTGCGGTACACCGCATGAGATGTTCATTAAGGAGCTGCAAGTATTACATCTAACAGTTGATTATTTTCTCAGCCTGCCAAGACGAATAACAACAAAGGGTCAGTTTCTACCCACAGTAGCTCTTCTGGAATTTCCAGCGGAATGTCTAGTCCTTCAGGGTCGATGGCCCAACACAACAAAAAATCCAATTGGAACCCCTTCAAGAGGCACTCTTCTTCTAGAGAAGGCAAGGATTTCTACGAAAATGTTATATTGAGATGAGAACGATATTGATTAGATCAGAATTTCGATTGTCCAAAAGTATTCGCTGCAAATTTGATTAATTTATTGGAAATTTGAATTTTCGTTTATAAATGTAAATATAGCGTATTAATATTGAATTATTATTTTTTGACTAGATGAACATATTTCTCTACATGTAGTAAGTGTTGACTATGTAGTTGTAGTTATAGTCAAAGTACTGAGATGATATTTATAAATATTTATGTAAATAATTAGAATTTCTTTAGGTGTAGATTTAATTTTCCAATGGTTAGTGTGTCGATTTTTTCTTATTCACTTTTTTTTTTTCATTGAAAACCAGTCGTATGTATGTACCTTATTTTTATCAAACAATAACAGTCATAGATGAGATTTATTTTTGTTGTTATACATTCATATTCTATTATAATAAAAATATATTTTATTCCACAAGTTTATTTCGCTATCCCAATGAAATTCCGTTTCACCCATTTTTCACGGAGAAACCTGTTAATTTCATATTGAAATTAATCTACATTATTCTAGACTAGACTAACGTAAAATTTCACGAGGATTCCGAATTTTCATGAATTTCGTGATACAGGGTGAGTCATGAGGAACTGTACATACTCCTACCACGAAAAAAGGCCCTTGAGGGGAATACCTAATGACGATCAGAAAGTGTCTTCGTTTCGTCTTTACCAATATATAGAGTGAATTATGAGATTTAGCAAAAATATCTTTCGAGCATAATTTTCAACAGCTCCTCCGATTCATCTGATTTTTTTTTAAGGAATATTCCTTCACTGAACCCTAATCGACTGACATTTCCAGAATCGGGAAAATCCAGGACCGTTGTTGAATAATTCCGAAAATTCAGTTTTCATCAGAAAGATCATCCTGTATATGATTTTTTTAAACCTGTGACAGGAAGTTTTTGAAGCACACAAACAAGCATCAGAAGTAAAATATTCAAAATTCTCTACAAACTTTCACAGAATTTTTCAAAAAACGATCGATTTATAAGCAAAAACAAAAGTTTGATAACAAATTTATTCATTCGAAAATAATTACTTCGCATCGCATAAATTTCACAAATAAAATTTAGACGCACATTTTCAATGCTTCAGCCCAATGTGGAAATCAACATGTTCATTCATTTCCAGGCCTGTATTTCTATTTCGTCATCTCAGTTATTGTGAAGAGTAATAATCACCCTGTAGATCTTTTTCAAAACAGTGGATGGGGTATGTGTTCAGATGTTAATGGTCATCGATTCAAATATTTTAAGAAAGATAGTCGAACAGACAACAACTTTTTTGTTCATCGCAATTTCAGTTTTTTTACACGAAATTATTGTAAATTGCCCTGAGATTTCATAATTTCATGTCAAAAAACTGGAATTGCGATGAACAAAAAAGTTTGGGTTATTTTTACCCCCTACCTCCCTATTTTGACACACCCCTGTATTTAATTTTGAGGTGATTTTAACTCCATTCGAACCGGCACTGAATAGTTAGTGGATGGACGAAATTTCAGATTTTCATTATACAAGGTGTTGGAGATAATAATACAAAATCCTTCTCTGAGGCCCCCCCTTTGAGGGGCTGTATCTTTCTTGGGGGTCACTTCAGAAAAAAGTGTTACGGAGGTTTTCGTAACTATTTCACCCACTCTATATGCTCCCAAAGTTTGAGCACCCATTTTAGAATCACCTTGTATATTCACCAACTTTTCAGAATTCAAGACAATATCACTGGATTATGCAGAAATCACATAGCTAAGCTAGATATGACTCGATTTATGAAGCAGAATAACTAGAATGATACTTAGAAAGATATAATCTGTCTCAAAATATCACTGTCTAACTGGATCATATACGAATAGTATTCTAGGAGTACGGTGAGATTAATTCATATTCAAGGATAGATCATCTTCTCCGTCTTTTCTGAAGATCATTCAGATGATTTTCTTGATGATTCGAGACGAAATAGTCAAAACCTAAAAACTCCTAGAAAATAATTAGAATGTTAATATACAATATTGTTCAGATGTTTTGAGTAACATTAAATTTAAATATAAGTTATGAAGTAGCATTGATGATTTTATGTGCTTCCTGATATAGTTATACAGGGTGTATCTAAATAAACCGGAAAAATTCAAGAGGTAATTCCTTGTGGTATTCAGGGAAATAAAGTTCATATAAATATGGGCCTAACTTGCTTCGTTTTCGAGATACAGGGTATTAATATTTCCATGAAAAATCCTTTTTTTATTCATTACTCAATTGTCTTTTCATCAATTTCAATGAATTTATCGATATTAATGGTGAATGTAAGCCACCGGTTTTTCTGTGTTTCATATTTTTATTAGATTGAACTATTGAAATAACAACTTTCTTATCCTCTGTGTATTTTTTGTGTCTAGCTCGATTTTTGAGGAAACAATAATAGTTATTTATGTATCAAGGGCGTAAAGTAGGCGTTTATGGCCTGTGGCGTGAATAATGGCCCGATGGCGCTAGCCGAGGGCACGTGATACATACAAAATTTTATGCACTAGTGGTTTATTTTCTGACCTTAAAGTAATGACTATAGATTTCGATAAACTAATATTCCCCCGAATTTGATTTGTTGCGTATGAATTCAGTAATCAAGAGAAACGTAATGTTCATGGATGATTTACATATGAAAATTATCGTACGAATATTGCAATTATCGTAATAGTAAAACTCTTTGATCTCTAGAAGAGATTCATTCTTCAGAATTTCACAATATGCATAATTGCATACCCAGTATAGATACCTAACTAATTTTGACGTTGTCAATCAAGCTGATGGTTGTTGTCTATATCAATACATCCAATCATCCAATAAACGAGCTGAATTGTCATTCTTTGACTGAAAAGTAAAAATTAGTGATAATAATAATAGCGATAGATATGGAATCGGATAAAGAAGAAGTTCATGATATACCGCTGGATATATTAGAATCTAGGAAAATGATCATAGGTTTTTCATGAATTGATATGTGGACATAAGGTAACTGAGAACAGCGGGCGGTAAAGTGCACTTTACGGCCCGTGGGCCATAATGAGCCCGCGGGCGGTAAAGTGCGACTTAACGCTCGCAAAACCGGGCGGTAAAGTGCACTTTACGGCCCGCTAGTGCATAAAAATTTTTATGTGACTCCAAATTTTAATGTAGGCGTGTTTTTAATAAGATTTCCATTGAGCTTAATCAATAGCCTCAATTAGAATCATTTTGAAATTTTGGGATTTTCTCAGTCTCCAACCATACTGAATTTTGGCACCATGAAAGCTTATACAGGGTTGTTATAAATGAAACAATTAATATTTCTAACTTCAATAACATCCTGTATCTCAAAAACGGAGCAAGCTAGGACACATATTTATATGAACTTGCAGAATATCAGAAGGAATCACCCCTTGGATTTTTTTGATATTATTCAGATAGTAAAATATCAACCATCAACATTACATTGTATAATATTTAAAAGTGGCACAAAGGCCCATTGCCGCAACGTATAACGTATCTCTGAATAACATCACAAAGTGACAATGTAATATAACAATTATGTTTAAGTTATGTTTTCATGTATAGTGGGGTCATATTTGCCGCCCCTAGCCTCACGTCGCCGATGACGTTACGTACCGGCGCTTGCCCGATCGAGACGTCGCGACGCGATCGATATCTCCATCTCGTTATTGTGTGCGCGACGTCGAAACATGCAGGCCAAGAGAAACGACGTATACGAAAACGAAATTCTCGTCTATATTTACTGCCCGGTGGCCATCTAACATCCAACACCCCGTGTGGTAAAAACGACGAGAGGACCAAAGTGATGTGGATAAGAGGTGGAGTGACAGTGACATATTATAGAATCGAAGTGTACGTACACAGGGTATAGTATGGAATTGATAAATTGTCACGTAAAATATTACAGAGACAATTTTGGTGTGGTGTAGCTACGTCATTTGGTCTACTTAATTCGTGAGTAACATCGAAAAGTATTACCTGTTTATGATGTATTGTGATACTTGTTGGAACCTTATCAAATATTATGCGCAAATGATGTTAATGTTAAACTATGTCAACCTTCGATTTTTCTCGTGCGGACATATCAGATGAAACACTCAGTAACTCCATGTCACAGTCCATGTGGAGCCTGTATACAAGTGGTCATCATAAACTGGTGGAAAAAAGGTAAGGATATTTATAAATGCGAACGACATAGGTTTTAATAGGTATACCAAATTTTTTTCTAGGACAAACACATTATCCTCAACTTTTTTCGATCAGTTTATGAAACTTTTAATAATGTATCCAGTCAATGATATAAATCAATATTGATGGGAAGAGCTTTTTTTTTAATCTTCAAAGCACAGCTAATGTCAACATAATTGATCAACCTGATGGAGTTTGCTCATCATCAATAATTTCAATCATTGGTAGAAGTCGATATTGCTCAAAGTGGAGTGAAGTTTTTCAACGGAAGGAAGGAATGCTCAATGTCACTTTGGAGACCTGCAGAACATCTCTTTCCAAAGACTCGCTCATCTAACGAACAGCGAGACTCTGGAACACATTGCCAAGGGAGGTGTTCCCTGGTTCTCACGATGTTCTCTGAACATAACAGGATATCCCTTTTCGTAGGGACCAGAACATGATGGAGTAGCCGTTTTTTCATTTAGAATTTTATTTTTCGATTAATTAGGCTGAAGATGGTCTTTTATAGGACCGAAACATGTCCCTTATACTGTCTGTAGGTCAATCGAGGAAGTGGTACCTTCATTTCACTTGATTTTTTGGGATTTTCTCTCCTAGTTTCTATTAAATAAAAATATGCGTATTATTGCAATATATTTGTAGTGGGACAAATCATATATGATTTGCTCCAAAATGTCACTGCGTTTAACAAATTTTTATATCAGGGAGCCTAAAAGAAGAATTCAGTAGCTTGTCAGTGATACTTTGTTTGAAAAAATGTTTGAAGGAAAGACTAGTTATTTGTTTAACTAGGCAGCAAAGTAGTAGATTGACTGCCGTGGCTGAATTCATAGCCGAGTGTATAGCGAGGCTAGGAATCCAGCTAAGGCAGTCAATCTACTTTGCTGCCGAGTTGAACATATAATTTTTTCTCCGATTGTTCATAATGATATAGGGGGATATTATAATTGCAAATTATTACAATTCCCACAATCTCTTTATATTTCCTGTAGTGTTCAATTAAAATGAAATTTGATAGAAATCGCAGTTGTCCATGATAATTATAGTTTGACAATTCATGGAAATTCTGACAGTTGTGCGAAAAAATATCGTTATATTTAAATTATTATATAATGGACCGTGATAGCAACCTGGAAGTACTTACACCTCCAGAAATAAGGGAGGTGGCAAAAAATATAGAGTTGAATTTGTTGCCGGAGAAGTCTCGAATGAAATATGAAGGAAATTATAAACGATTTATGGATTATTAATTTTGCTGTTACATATCAATCAGCAAAGTAACCACTTTGCTGCCTAGGCAGGAAAAGTAATACTTTGCTGACTGATATGTGTCAGCAAAATCAATATTTGCTGCCGATCGGAGGAAAATATAGTTATATTGAAAAAATATCGAATTTTTACTTATCTTTGGACGTTTCGGGAACGATTCTGCTCCCGTTCTCAACATGAAAATGTAAAATATTTTTCTTTGGAAGTTGTGCTCTGCTTACAGTATATATCGTATTTGTATTAAATATTGAAATTCGAACAGAAAATAGGTATTTACTAACAGAAATATTCTAATTCTTATTTATATTAATATTTATATTAAAATTCGAGCAATTGCTAATATTGAAGGGATTCAACTCGGGATTCAATTTGTTCAAAATGCTTGGCATATTCGAATGCCTTTTGTTGAATTCAGAACAAACAGGTAAAGTTTCCATTCCACATTGAATATTTTCATCAGATAATTTTTTAATCGTCATGGCAATTGTCTATATATCCTTCAGCAACATTGGTAGACTTCCAGCAACCGTGTCTCTTCAAAGTTCAAAGTTCGACGAATGCTATGGCCTGTGTAATTTTTAGGATAAGGTTTATAACCAACATTCTTCCTTTTAAGAAATGCGATAACCTTTGGGAAATTGGCTTTGTTTACATTTTCCTCCACTAAAATGGTACTTTGCAACATGGAGTACATGCTTCAGAAGGTAGAGGATTTGACAGTCTCAGATTTTTTTGCCAAATAAGCCAAAATTACATCCTCTGTAATGGGCGTGTACACCTTAGTAGAACTTTTAACTCAAACCATGTTTATAATGATCCTTCTATACATAAATAATGATTGACCACATAATTCGATCGAAAAATTAACTGGAATGTTTTATTTTTGGACATAAATAATAGTACCTCCTGAAAAGGGACCCTCTTATGACGTAGAAACCTCATCTCGCCATAGTTAAAAGAAAATACCAAACGCCCGACGGAGACTGAGGCAACTGATATATTAATTCTTTCAACTGTGATCTCGCGCTAATTCACTCTGTCAGAAATTATGTATCATTCATCTCTGTCTGGAATAGTCTTGTTTCAGTATTAGGGTTTTGACGTCACATCATCGCCTCGTTTTCAGAGGTCTGAAAAATCGGGGATTTCAATAATTTTCTATTAAACGTAGGGAGCTCACTCATACTTTATTGCGATAATTGCGACCAAAAACCATGCAAACTTTCAAAAAACAAAATGTCAACTAATTTCATGTCAGATAGATGTCAGTCGTTATTTCGTTGCTATGGTTATGATCAACTGCATTTATCAAAAACCATATCTACCAAGATGCCATATTTACATTAACATAAGCAACAATGTGATTCTTTCCTTCCTAGTCCGGGAAGTATACATACCGGAAAAATACTACATTCACCAAGAAAAAGCGTCCAGTGAGTATAAGTACTTCCCGGACGTATGCCGAAAAATAATTTTGTAGTATGTGAATGAAGAAATAGATGACTTTTTTGTTATAGAAGGAACGTTCTGAACAAACGTCAACATGGAGGTTTCAGAATCGATATGATATAAAAGTCGGTTGGAAAAGAAAAAAAACAGAGGGAGAGCAAAATGGGCAACTCATGTAGCAGTGGACAAGCTCACAAAGACAAGGACAGCATGTCTCAAAGATCTGAGGAGTAAGTATCATCAATATCGTTATTATTGAGTAATAGGGATTCCATTTCGTGCGATCTTAAGGATAAATGGAAATATGTGCAACATCATTGATATGCATATTCAAGTACAATAATTTCTTTTTGAATTCCAATTTACGTTTTGGCTAACTCTGTTATTTCTAGGTTCAATAATTGAGATGTTTTCTTTTCATTTTTCAGCGTTATAAATAATGTGTGCGATTAGTCAACACTCAATAATTCACAAGGTTTCTGACATTTTCATGATATCATAAGTTATCAAAAAAAACTTGGAACGAATTGTGAGCAAAGATATTTCCGAAATATTTATTTCTACTCATAGTTGGCATAGTTCTGTGTTTACCAGTTATAAATATATTTATTTAATCTGCAAAAACACTTGCGAAATATCAAATAGTATGGAATATTTCGTGAAAAATAAATATTTCATAATTTATTATATAGAAGTGACAAATTAAATAAATTGGATTGCAAATGTTTTTGCGACAGAAAATTTTATACATTATTATGTAATGGGCCAACTCAAATTCAAATCGTCTAAAATATCCAAATGTTAAATAATGACAAAAGGCTATTCAAATATCAATATTATATTTTTGACATTTGCTCAAAATGTACTACTGTCCCGTTGAAAATATCATAATAGGTTTTGGTACACCCTGTATAATCAGAATACGTCGTTTTAGATCACTTTCACTTTCATTAGGCATACAAATTTGATGATATGCCGTTCAATTGTTGAAAAATTTTCTCTCTAGACAGCGAGTAGGTGTTTATTTTGAATCTTCTAGTTTTATCGCCAAGAATAATATTTGCTATATTTCCGCTGTAGCTTTTGTTTGTTGAGAGTCCCCTAGATAAACAAGAATATTCCCGATATAGAACAGCAAATTTCAATAATCGGAAGCTTTCAGTCACATAATAATATTGTTTTGAATGTATTCAAAACATCAACTCATATTTCTTTATTCCAGATTTTTTTTTTTCGTTTTTAGGATTCTCTCTCCTTGTCATAAAATGAAAATATTAATACTTTTTCAATATACGTGTAGTTAGGACAAATCAGATGATTTGCCCCAAAATGTCACTGCGTTTAAAGAATTTTCCTATCAGAAAGCCTAAAAGAAAAATTCACTAGCTTGTCAGAGACAATTTGTTTCGAAAAAGGTTTGGAGAAGAGAAATAAAGGTATATAAAAGAATATCTAATTTTTACTTATCTCTGGACGTTTCGGGATTTCGGGAACGAATCTGCTCCCGTTTTCAACATAAAAAATGGATTTTTCGTATGGCAAATTCGTATTTGTCCTGACATTTCTCAGTTCTCTCTCTCTCTCAGACAAAAGATAAGTAAAAATTTGATATTTTTCTATATATCTTTATTTCTCTTCTGGAAACCTTTTTCAATACAAATTGTCACTGACAATCTAGTGAATTTTTCTTTTAGACTCTCTGATAGGGAAACCCTTTAAACGCAGTGACATTTTGGGGCAAATCATCTGAAATAGTATTCATATTTTCATTTTATAGAGTGGAGGAGAAAAAATCCCCCAAAAAAATCTAGAATAATGATTGTACCATACCTCCTCGATCAACCTACAGACAGTATTCATATTTCTTTGTTCTGAAGAAGGTTGTATGCTTCCAGTAGGAACGTCTATAGAAATTTGAGAATAGTATATATATTTTCTTATAAGGATTCTATACCAAAAAAAAAAAGATTATCTTCAAATTTTCAGAGAACGGAGCTCATTGGCTTGGGAAGCTGATGACTAATCGACCTTTTTTTTTCAAATATTTACGACCTAATATTTAGGCTGTTTTCGTTCCTACAATATTCAACACCGTTCATCTATTGAATTTTTCAAGTTCATTTCAAAAAGACATCAACGCACTGCTTTTATCATCAACCTAATATTATTATTGTTATTATGATCAATTATTTAGTTAGAACTCCAGTGATGAAGATGAAAACTTTCATTATTTTATGACCTCTATCCCGGAAATCCGTTATTGTAAAGGCGCGGGCAATGCGAGCTCTGACGTCATAGCCAGCCGCGATGACGTCAACCCTCAACGTCCCATTTTCCGTCGTGTTCCCGGAAAATCCACATCACACCCTCTCCCCTGCTACCCAACTAGCATAACTAGCACGAACTCCGCGGATGTCAATTCTCGACTTGCTGAAACTCCAGTGTCCTTGACACGAAATATGACAGAGTATTGCCGTAGTCAACTCACACTAGATCGGCAGATGCAAGGTTTTTCAACGGATCAGGAGACTATAATGAAATCGAAAGTGCCCCAATATTTCTTTAGTATTTTCGCACAACTAACCTGAGAAATCACCATTGTTCGAGGAATTCCTCTAATGGATAGTACTATGTTTAACCTATACTGGGTGTTGCGAAATTACACTGTTGGAAATTAGTTGATGATTCAACAAGAATTTGTTGTCCCAGTAGGACTACAACAATTTATTAGTTGAATTAACAAGAGTTTTTGTGAAAACTTTACAAAGGATAAGATTTCCACAATATTCTTAAACACACAACATGTTTCGCTAACACAGTAGCTTCGTCAGGTGATATACTGGTACAATGAACTAAACCAACGTTGGCTTGCTTAACTTTTATACAGGGTGTCTGTAAAAGGTCTTTACAAAAACATACCACATATTCCCTAGATCAAAATAAGTCGATTTAAGTAAAATTACCTCAGTACGAAGTTGCATCGTTTGGGCTCCAGAGGGCCTTGAAGTTACAATTTTTAAATAGTTTTTCCCATATAAATTCAAAACGGCATATGCGATTTTGCTGAAATTTGGTATATTGATAGAGTTTTATGTGGCAAAAAAAATGGTACATAGGCGTAGAACTTGATTTTTTTAAATAATTGCACCTTCAAAAATTCTACGCCAATGGAAGAAAAGGAGTTTGAGTATGAAATTTAGATTGCGCAACTCATTTACTTTGAAAAAGGTACTCTTGATAAGACGCGATTGCTCTCATGGTTTTGACGAAATTTGCATTTTAGTGCCTTTTGAACATAAACAATAATTATTAAAATACAAACTTTGTCAAAACCATGTGAGTAAATCGAGTGTTATTAAGGGTACTTTTTTGTAGTAAATGACTACCCAATCCAAATTTCATACTCAAACCCCTTTTCTGCCATAGGCGTAGAACTTGATTTTTTAAATAATTGCACCTTTGAAAATTCTACGCCAATGGCAGAAAAGGGGTTTGAGTATGAGATTTGGATTGGATACTCATTTACTACAAAAAAGTACTTCTTTCTGAAATATCGGCCATCAATGTTATATGGCGAATTCACATAATATCTTCGTTTTCTAGGTCGGGCAGCTACCAGATCCGGACCAGCCTGCCTTCAGAGAAGCAGCAGACCCTTCTCAACCACATCACCCCCCATTCGGGGGTGATCCTGGAGCCAGGCACAGCTGGGGGTAAGCCCCAACTGCCGGGGGCTACGTCGGCCAGTACGGCGAGTACTCTGGAAAAAAAGCCCAGTTTGACCAAAGCGTTGAAGGGCACTGGACTGTCGGGGATAGCTAGCGTTTCAGGTGAATGCCTATTGATTGGCGTCTGAACATTTTTTTTGCATTTTTCCACACTTCATCATAGATTTTCACTTTTTTCCACTTATTCACACTGTATCAGGGATATTCACGCCAGCAGACATTTTCACGAGAAAGACACAGGATTCTCGGGGATACCTATCTTACATTTCAGGCAAATTCCTATTGGCGTTTAGGGTTTTGTAATGTTTTTACACGAATTTTTTACACTTTTTCATGCTGTATCAACATTTTTCACGTATTCTCGTTTCACCAAGGTTTTCCTCAATTTATTCACACTTCATCAGATATATTCGCGCTTATCCACGTTTTCACAAGAAAGGCACAGGATTCTCGGGGATGGCTAGCGTTTCAGGTAGATGCCTATTGATTGGCGTTAGAACATTTTTTTGCATTTACGCTTTTTCATAGTTTTTCACTTTTTTGCACTTATCCACACTCTATCAGGGATATTCACGCCAACATACATTTCCACGAGAAAGGCACGGAGTTCTCGGGGATAGATACCATTTCAGGAAATTCCTATAGGCGTCCAGGGTTTTGTTATGTTTTTAAACGCCTTTTTCACACTTATTCATGCTGTATCAAAATTTTTCACGTATTCTCGTTTATTTATTCATCTTCCCACTCATTCACACTTCATCAGATATATTCACGGTAACCCACGTTTTCACGAAAAAGGCACAGGATTGCCTTTTGTCGTTGTACTGTTGTGTTTTTTCTCACATTTTTCTCACATTTTTCACACTTATTCACGCTTTACATAGATTTCATTCTATTTTCACACTTGTTCTGGATGCATCAAGGTTTTTCTCATGATTTTCAGTTTCACAGCAAAGGCACAGGATTGTCGGGGAAAGCTAGCATTTCAGATGAATGCCTGTTGGCGTTTGTAGATTTTTCTGCATTTTATTACGCCTCTTTCATACTTATTCACGCTTCATCATAGTTTTTTGCGTTTTTTCCCACTTATTCACACTTCATCAAGGATAGTCACGTCTTCACGAGAAAGGCACAGAGGATTCTTGTGGATAGCTAACGTTTTAGGTGAATACCTGTTAGCGTTTGTACAGTTTTTGGCATTTATGCACGCCATTTTCACACTTATTCACGTTTTATCATAGTGTTTCACGTTTTTTTCCACTTATTCAGGGGATTGTCGGGGATAGCTAGCGTTTCAGGTGAATGTTTGTTGGCGTTTGTACATTTTTTTGCATTTTTTCACACCTCTTTCACATTCATTAACGCTTCATGATAGATTTTCCCGTTTTGTTCCCACTTATTCACACTTCATCAGTGATATTCACGAGAAAATCTAGTTGGCGTTTCAGGTAAATACCTATTGGCTTTTGTACGTTTTGTTGTGTTCTTTCAAGCATTGATCACACTTTTTCAATCTTTATCAAAGTTTTTCACTTTTTTTTCACACGTATTTTTTTCCCAATTTATCGGCCCATTCACACTTTATCAGGGATATTCACGCTAACCCACGTTTTCACGAGGAAGGCACAGGATTCTTGGGGATAACTAGCGTTTTAGGTAAATGCCTATTGGCGTTTGTACGTATTGTTGTATTGTTTCACGCGTTTTTCACACATTCACGCTTCATCATCTTATCACGTTATCTAACGCTTTCTCATGTTTTTCCATGCTTCATTACATTTTTTATACTTTGTCACGCTTCATCACGACGTTGCATCACGGCTTTCCTTTTTTTAATTCTCTCTGGTTTTCACGTCTTTTTACATTTTTTCATGATTGTGTTCACTTCATCACTGTTCATCAAGGATGTTCACACTTACCCACATTTTTTATGCTTTGTCACGTTTTTTAAAACTAGTTGAAAAGTAGAAACGCGTGCAGAAGCATGAAAAGGCGTGGAAAAATTGTGCTGAAAATGGAATCGATCTCGTTGGCAGGTTAGACCTTGACAGGAACATCTCTGTACCAAAGTGAGCTGATATCGGTATTGGTACTCTACTATCGACAAAATTTTGATTTGATAAAAAAAAGTGAAAATCAAACATAAAAGCTATGGTGTGTGAGCCGAAGAGACAACATGACGAATCGATGATCGTTCATTGAACCCATATATTTTTGCAGATTCAGTTTCTTTGAGTTCGCCTCCAGGCAATCACAGCCCCAAAGAATACGAAAAACTATTCGATGACGACCTGCCTAAAGAAGTCGGCAATCTGTCAGATAACCTCCAACATCTGATAATGGGAAGAATCTCCCAAGCCAAAACAGCGCTGAGGAGTAGAAAAATCGTCATATACATATGTGCGGCAGACTCTCAAGGTAAACCATCACTCAATTCAAGTCGATCGTTCAGGCAATTCCCATTTTTCAGACTGCAATGTTGAAAAGGGAGCTTTGCATAACACCATCTATCCAGAGCTGAGAGCCAGCTGTAGGTCCATGGGTTACGAGTTACACATCGTCGATCTGCACTGGAAAACTTTACTGGAAAAGCAACAAGACCACGAATTCCCAGAGCTGTGTATCGGCGAGCTCACCAGGCAAATGGAAGTGGCCTATATCATACCGGTTCTATTTCTGAACAACTCTCTAGGCACTCAACTCCTTCCCATCACCATAGAAAGTGCTGACTTCAAGATGGCGATGGAAAGTGCCGAAAATCAGTCAGCTCAAGGACTTCTCTCCAAATGGTAAGCATCCGTAATACCACTACACAGCAACTATGAGTTAATACCAACTTTTGTTGTTGTAGGTATATGTTAGATAGTGATGCCCAGCCACCTTGTTATAGGCTGAGGCCAATTTCTTGTCACATTCCAGGTTTCAAAGAAACTTCCTTGCAAGACAGGGAAAAAGCATTTGCCGAATGGGCCATTGAAATAGACAAAATGTTGGCAGTACTGATTACCGTGTTTTCACAAGAGCTGAGAGATACTTATTTGACCACAGTAGTAGAACAGGCACGAAAATCACCTTCTGGAAACCGTTCCGCTTTGAATTTGTCATATTTTCTTTCAGGAAGTCCATAACACAGTGTTTATGAGCCAAGAATTAGCTAAACGCTGCATTTGGTTGAACAGGGTTTTTACTCCAACTGCAAAGACTCCAGATAATATGACTCCTGGAGAGGCAGAGGCACATAGAAGACTGACTATTTTACAAAAGGACTTAAAGGTAAAAATCAGAACCGAACACTGTCGGTGAAATACCACAAGGATCGATATTACGACCGTGGTACTGTTGAAAAGAATGAGAATTTTTTTTTTCCAGAACCAATTGACTGAAAAACACATAGTAAGAATTCCAGTGAAGTATGTGGAAGGTGGATTGAACCCTGATATCCCAGAGCACGAAGACTATATAGCCACTGTCAATCACCACATCAAAAAACACTTGAGCGAGATGATAGCCGCTATCATAGAAGAACACCAGAACAAAACCATGTTGAAACCTAGTCACGGAATAGAATCTAGCCTATTCGAAGAACTGAACCAACAGACAAATTTTTGCCAAAAAGCAGCTCAATGTAGTATCAACAAGGAAAAAACTATCAACGATATCAAAACGTGAGACCCGATAACATTTCTTAGGTATACTTGATGAAGCATATCCAACACAATTTTAGGTATATTCTTGGGGACAATAACTCGCCCCTAGTTGTGTATGGTCCTGGTGGCTGTGGAAAAACCACCTTGTTAGCGAGGGTAGCACAATGCTGCCAACAATGGTTGCCTGAGGCTTTCTCCATCATCAGATTCATAGGAATCAGTGCACAATCAGGCACCGTCGAACAGCTTCTCAGTTCAATTACAAACCAATGTTCGATTCTCAAATTTGGACATAAATGTTACTGTTCTCACGTAAGTGTCGATGAAATTCTCCTAACTTTAAACTTTCCAAACTTGACGTTTTCATTTTATTGTCTCTAGAACATCGAGACTTATCAAAAGGCTTTGCCAAGTCTTCTCAGTTCAAGTTCCCTTCAAAGGCAATTGATAATCATCCTGGATGGTCTAGACCAAGTTCGACCTTACAGTTCGAGGAACATAGAATGGTTGCCAATTTTTCTACCCGAAAACATCAAGCTAATTATTTCCGTGTCAGAACCCAGCGAGATGTACTCGAAGATAAGCGAAAAGCTGAACGAGGACAATTTCATCAAGATGCCGCTGTTAGAACAGTCGGAAGCCAAGGGTATCTTGATGTCTAGTGTGATGCAGTACAACCATAGTGTTAGTTCGAATATACAAGATTGCGTGTTGAAGTCTGCACAAGAGTGTACCATACCGTTATACTCCAAGGTAACTCACATATTCAATGTTCAAACATGTTTGGATGATATGTACTTCTGTATAGGTTCTAGCTTGGCAAACCTCTTGGTGGGTTGACAAAGAACATGACATTGTACCAAAAGGGAACGTGACTGATCAGATCAATTTGATGCTAGATGAATTGGAGTCCATTATTGGTATTCCTCAAGTTCAGCATGCCCTGGCGATTCTGGTCAATACCAAACATGGTATCACCGATTCCGAGATGATAGACCTCTTAGCGTTCGATGAGAGTTTTCATACAAGCACGACTTACGGTGAGCAGAATGAACTTTTCAGGTTCTTATTGAAGCTACGATATCCCAGAATTTTTCACTTTTTCAAAGCTTGTTCAGCATTGAATTTTTTTTTCAGTGAGTTGGGCTCCAGCATGTTTGACTTGGTCGAGGTTAAATAAGCATCTGGCACCTTTCATGCACTGGACTTTAACTGGTGGCGTTTTAGGAGTTCAATGGAAAGACAACGTCCTGAAGCAAGCAGCTGCTGATAGGTACAAGGACCAGAAGAGATGGGCCAACCAGATGCTCTTCGATTACTACGATGTGAGTAGACTGACGGTGTACGATGCAATAGTTGAAAATCTTTATGGTTTCAGGGTAAATGGTGGGAAAGCAAACCTTCCAACCTTCAAGCTCGTATAGTCCACCAAGATAATGTTTTGGGAAAATGGTATGCTTTTCGTGTGTCTGAGTTATCTTGTTTTGTTTTTGGAATTAATTTGTACATATTTTTATTGTTTTTCTTCCTGCATGTATATATTTTGTTAATAAAGCTTTCAACTTTTGAGTTTTCTTATTTTTGATTTCCACCAAAAGTTGATTCGATGAAATTGAGGAAGCACTGTGGGAGAACTCTTGGTAAGTGACGTAGGTAGTCATTGCATCCATAAGAATATCTAACTGAATTACAAGAAACTAAATAATGCTTTTGTTTCAGTTATAATCGAAGAAAGCTAGATGAACTACCATTCCAGCATTACCAGCTCCATTCAGACTTAGAAGATTCAAAATATCTCTCGGATATGTCCTGGATATATGACAAAATCTGTGGTTCCAACTGCTACCAAATACTTGAGGATATCAACCTCCATTCGCGAATCAAAAACGAATTCACCCTAATTCTTAAAGACTTCGTTGAAACGCATGCTAGTGTACTCAACTATGACGGAAGACAATTCTATTCGCATTTGTATAAATATTTGAGTGACAAAATTAGTGAAGGTGAACTCAGCATTGGAAATAATGACTCTAAACTGTCTTTAGTGTATAGTATAACGAAAAATCCTCCTGTGTTATCTCTCATTCCTATCGGTAGTATTGACATAGAAAAGAAAGAAGAGTTTCCTGAAGATGTTAAGGAAGATAGGGCCTTCGACGTTGTGGTGAGACTTCCTAAAACTGACCAATTCATTGTTACAGTTTCAACGCAGAAAGGGGAGCTATGTGTTTGGGACATAATAAAGTAAGTGAAATTCGTGCATCTTTGACTCATTTCAAGTTTAAAAGTACCCTTGGACCTACCATCAGTAGAAGCTGAAACTTTCATTTCTACATGCCGATGAGTGTATCAACATCATTATTTAACGAATTTCAACAGACAATGAGTCTTTCGCTGAATTTTCATAGATGACATTCATATACTCGAAAACCCATCCACGATTTATATTTTTTTCGCTTTCAGTTGTCAGGCGATAAGGATACTTCGAGGCATACCTAACCCTATAAACCTGATCCCTATAGACGAATTCAAGTGTATCATCTTATGCAGAAGAGAATTAAGGACGTTCGACTTGAATACCGGTAGTTTTTTGACGAAACTCAAAGGAGTGATGAACCAAAAGATGCCGTTCTATGGACTGCACGACCAATCCCATCTAGTAGCGCTAAGCAGAAACCGAATGTACATAAATCTTATGAATTTAGAAACAGGTACTTAGGAATTATTCTAGCCAGTTTCCACCTACATGAATTATTGTCACCACACCTTATTATTCTAACAAGTAGTGTCAACCACAGAACCCAACCTCACAATTCGACACGCCTTGAATAGGAGTGGTGACAGAAATAGTAGAGGATGTTCTCCTTGCTTATACAAAACTTATTTCAGGTAATTGCGTCACTACATTCAAAGCTGGAGAAGACAGGTTCCTCAACTCCTTGCTCGTTTCGGGAGATGGAAGGTAATATTTCGAGAGAAAAAAAAAACACATCTCATTTTTCATATTTTCAGAATCCTTGTATGTGGTGATGAAACTCAGAAGCCTTTTCCTCTACTTGTATGGAACTTACAAAATAGAAAATTATTGTACGACCTTAGAATTCCCCATCATCACTTTATCACAGCATTATCAGCCATTACTAATGAAGGTAAACAAATTCTAAATTACTTAGATATATGTGTGTGATGATATGCTCTCCTATATTCCTATTGGTCAGATATCAAGCAGTAAGTGGAGTTGACACTGCTAGAAGTGGGGATTTGCCTGACTACCTGCTGACCTACTATGTAATGTTTACAGGTAACTACGTGTGCTGCGTTTGTTACGAGATAGCAGAACCCGACCCGAATTTCATTGTTGTTTATGATTTGCAAAGTGGCACGTTATTCAAAAAATGGAAGCCATCTTGCAATACGGTTTCCTTAGAAATAAGCTCACAAGGTGGCTGTGTCATATCAGGTCTCGAAGATGCCAGGTTACTTGTCTGGGACCTCGTTACTGGTGAGAAACATTATAACTATAGCAGAGGTTGTTCTTATACCCGGATTGTTTTTAGGTAACTGCCGTTGGTCACTCAGTGGTCACACTGCGCCAGTATCTTATTTGATGTTAGATCCCACAGGGACACTTTGTCTTTCTAGAGATTCAGAGTGTAGGGATAGGTCAATTCGTATTTGGGATTTAGAAAAAGGTATACGGAAAGTTTCCTAGCTAGCTTGGTATCATGTCATGCTATATCAGATGCTAATAGATGATTTTTTCAGGTGATTTGGTTGCTGTATATACTCCCGAAACCAAGATCACTTCTTGTACGATAACTTCGAATGGTCGAATGATCGTCCTAGCTTTAGACGGGTGCAAATCGTTAGTTACTCTACAACTCAAGGGTCCCAATATCTCCGAGGTTTCTGCCAGTGAAATTTATGGAGACGAAGGGAACACTGGAAAAGTGTTCGATTTGCAGGACTGTTGCTGACCAGGCTAAAATAATCACAGTACATTGATCCTAACAAGTAGCGGCAAACTCAAATATAACCTACCCTTTGCCTTTCAACAGTTGATAAACATTAGCCCCAGTAACTGTGAAAACTACTCGCTACTTGCTAAGATTTTTGTACAGTGAATTATATTTGTGAGTGGAGAACCTATTCATAAATTTTGTCCATACAACGGCCTGTGTGTTGAGACATCAGTGAGGAAAATCATCTGATAGTTACATAGGCCGAGTTAAAATTATCAGTTACTAATCAATTCGTTAGTGTGATCTGTGCTGGTTTCAGGTCCAGTAGATTTAAATAAATACCTATACATATATATATTTACTCCTCCAGTGGCAGGAATTAACTAATATTGTCTCGAGAGAAAATACAAAATATCTGTGCTGGTTTCAGATGAAATTTATTTTCCAACATACAATATATATATATCTAATATAAGACGAGCAGCTTGAATGAAATGGTGTTTTCTCGTTTCAACTCCATTTTATAATATAGGAAATACCGAAATATCGAAAATTATCTTGGTGAGAGCGGTAGTTCCGGAGCAACTTTGTATTTTCAAATGGAACATCCTGTATACTTTCACATAATTCATGTACATAGAGCAGTTCAAAACAAGTGCAATCTTTATGACAAGATTAAGAAATGTAGTTTTCCACAGATTGCTTGAGAAATTATTCTAACTGCAAGGAAATTCATGATACTATAGTTGTTGATTTTTGAATGTATAAAATTTGTTATCGCACCGAAATACAAAAATGATTTGTCATTTTTTTTTTCTTGATATCTGTTCTAGAGAGACATATATGTAGGTGGCCCAGAGGTAGGGGTCCATTTGAAAAAACTGAATATTTGATCAAAATAGGCCTTTTCATTTAGATGACAAATTACTATCTTACACACAGTACCACACTCCTCAGTAACGAATAAGTAACATTTTTTGGAATTAAATTATTATGATACAATTAATACACACCAGGAATATGAAAACGAAACTACCATGTTGTTATTGTTTTTTCTCAATGACGAATGTCTATGTCAATAATACCCGCCATATTCGAAATGACCAATCAGCATTTTGTGTTGGAACTATAGCCAATGAGACCTCACCTTCGCATTACCCAATACATTTTTGGATCTAAAAACGAGCGCATGCGTCTTAAAAATATGTCTAGATGAAAAGGCCTATGTGATGTGACTCAAATGATTATTCATCGACAAATAATATTGAAGATTAACAAATAAAGTGATCACATTTGAATATTTGAACCCTTCTAACCTAAACATGTCACAGATATCAAGTTCATTCATTTATGTTCGCTGGAATAATGGCATCAAGAATATAATTATTCTGTTATATACCTATAACTCTCTACCACAGTATTTATACAATAACACATCTCCATATCTACATCTACGATTCTCCACAACTTTTGTATACCTATTTACTTTTTCTATATTGAAAATTGAACGCTGAATCAAGCTGAACACCATTTCGTGACAAGATATATGGCTCAACTTTGGATGAAAAATTGAAATTTTTGAAATTATATAGCTACAAAAGTTATGTCATACATTCTACTTCGTATAATGATGAGTATATAGGAGGTATGAACGACTTATATACCTACTATCTATTTTATATTTCACTATTTTCATTCCGAATTAATCCGAATGATCTATTGCAAACATTTGATGAACAATTATTGAAAAAAATTATGAAATGAAATATCTACCCAGTTAGTCACTACGTCGACCGAATGGAGAATAATTCATTATTTTCGTGAACATGTATGTGAACTTCAATTTCGAAATTCAATTGACTGAATGATTGATTAAGCGATAAAATATATATATTCATAATGATTTATTCATCATTTCATAATACTCTATTTAATAAATATCAACATACTTCACAAATATTCGGCAGGCAAGAATTTCCAATATGGAAACCTACAAATTCAATAGTGCTTGATAAATTTATTCATATCCACTTGGTATGTGGAACAAATGTTATCATTATTGTTTATATTATTATCAATATTATTATATTTGTATGTGGTGATTCTCGTGTAAAATAAAGAAAATGAATGAAACTGTGGTTTGATTTATACGAAGGTGTTGAAGGGACACCGTGAATATTTTTAAAATTCCGACTCATTAGTATTCTAATGAATCCGAGAAGCTGAGTCGGAATAACAACTAATAATAAGTTGGAGTTAATTAATTCCGGGATAATAAGTTGGAATTCGAAGATACTAAGTCGGAATTCTGGCATAATGAGTCGGAATTAAATTATCTCGAGTTCTGTGTGAATAACATAACTCATAGAGCTCATAATATTACTTACAGTCCGTAAGATCACTACGCTCCCGCAGTGTAGCGTTCCCCCACGGCGATGATTATTATTTTCCTCCTGTCTGTAGACGCTAGTGCCAGATACAATGAATAGGTCGCGTGCACGAAGACCGACCCTGGAGGCAAAATATTGAAACACAACCTCATTCTTCTGTGAATTATTGAAACACAACCTCACTTTTTTATTTGGTTACAGAGGAATCAAACGGTTGAAATAGTTTTTCACAATATTTTGGCATACGAATCGTGTTTCTTGCGTTATTCATTAATTCATAAGCATGCCTTCGCATTGTGCTGTTGTACAATGCACAAAAAATGCAGCAAGAGACTAGGTAATATGATTTTTCAGGTAAATAGTAATCTCACATAGTTAGCATCATGAAATGTTGTCATTCCTTATTAAAATTCCTTCTGCCTTCTGCCACTTCTGCAATACAAGCTAATGCTGCTAATAGGTTGAAAATGTCTACAACACACACGATCGTCAGCATGTCAGACCAGTCCTACCGATTGATTGCATGAATCCAATCTTCTTGCATTATTCTAGAAATTTCAGGTATATTTCTATTAGCTGATCCTATATTGCAGAAGGAATTCCGATGAGAAATCAGAGAAATAACCAAATTTCAAAAATGAAAACTATGTCAGTGACTATAGTAGGTACTTACTTTTGAATCATAATGTACCATCCGGATTTCTTCATCTTCCGCTGCAGTTTTTGTGCATTTTACAACAGCACAATGTGATGGCATTAGCGAATTCATGAATAGCGGAAAAATACGATTCATATGCCAAAATAATTGTGGAAAACTATTTCCATCACTTGTAAACAAATATGTTTTGCCTCCAGGGTCGGTCATCTGACAGTTCTTGCACGCGACCTAGTATAAGAACTTAAGAAGAGGAAAAAGTAAGGTTTGATATCGAACTTGGAATTAGGTTAGGTTTATGATCTGTTTCTGGAATTTTGGATTCAATTAATTAAACTTGTTGCATTATACAGTTTCTTTTTCCACTTTTATTTACTATTGACTCAATAACTTGATATAGGTAAATTCTATACTGAAATTTCAGAAAATGAAGGTATCAAAAGTGAAAAGGAACAATCAGAAGAAAACCAAACTCATCAAGCAGGGTGTAATAAAAAAGAAACCTAATAAAAAAATTGATAATATTCCAAATGTTCCATCTAATCAACCCAAGCAAAAAGTTGAAAGTTCAGAGGAAAGTGATGATGGTGAGGACATGTTAGGAATGGTGGACAAAGATGATTTAGACTTTTTGAGAAAAGCAGTTACCAATCGATCCTATAACATATTCAATAAAGTTAGACGTTCAGAGTGAGCATATATCAGATCTATACTTCTCAAATAGGATTAATAAGATTTATTTCAAGACTTGATGGCCCAAAAGCAAAGAAAAAAAGAACTGAAGATGAGGAAACTATAGAAAACGAATATGAAGACCAAATTCCAGAGGATGGTGGTAAGAAGATGAAAAATTTGTTACCCATCAAGACTAAACGTGGGGTGATACCACAGCAAATAGAGGAAGACATTGGTATGGACTTTAACATAAGTAGCATCCAGTATTTTGATTTTTTGATGTTTTTCTTCCAGAATCAGATATTGGATCAGAAAACCCTAGTGAAGAAGTATCAGAAGTAGAAAGTGACACAGAACATTTTACATTGGAAAGTTCTGAATTGGACTTATCAAAACCAATTTCATCTACCCAGTTACTAGTGACTAGAAATGAGGCTTTGAGACAGAAAAAAATTCATATAGGAACTTTGTGTTCTGGACTACTTGAGAACCCAGAAGAAAAAATCACAAATCTGAGGAGTTTACTGACCATCATGGATGAGGAGACTGAAGAAATCTTTATAACTGTTAGGAAACTGGTTGTAGTTTCACTATGTGAAGTTTTCAAAGATATTCTGCCTTCTTATGAAATAAAGAATATTGTTGGTGAAGGAGTAAGATGTGAGTTGATAATATAGTTCTTTCAAGAATATTTGCAGGTATTCCTTTATAATTTTTAGTGAAAAAGGATACTTTGAAGCTCCAGAAATTTGAGGAAAATTTGTTGCTGTACTATAAAAAGTTTCTTCAAAAGCTGGAAAAGTTTGGCTATCTGCTCATGAAAAAAAGGGGAGACACAAGAACTAGATCTGAAGTAGGTACCCATTTTCAAACAGCTGGAATATTTTTTTCAGATTCTTTTTTTCAGGATGAAGTCAAATTAGGGGTTCTTGCTGTTAATACCATGTGTGATCTTCTAGTTTCTCACCCCTATTTCAATTATTCACAAAACATTGCTCAAGCACTGGTACCTTTCTTGAATAACCCTAACAAAGCTGTCAGAGATACTGTGAAAACATCTTTCAAAACAATATTCAAAGAAGATAAGAAAGAAGAAATTACTCTGAGGGTATATATAAAACAAAAAGATGAATATTTTTGACACCACTCCTTGTATTTTCTTTGTTGTTGGACAAGTCATTCAAACTGATAAGAATTACCATGAACACATCATTTTTCGAGTTACTCTCAACGAGCCTTTTCAGTTGATACCCATATTGTGAAAGTATATCAAAAATAGCTATTCCGCCATCTTGGATAGTCCGCCATATTGGATTTAAAATAACGTGACACACCTTATGGTGCATTGTCATCCAAACTGAACGTGATACAAAATTTCAGCTCAATCGGTTGAAGATTTCTACTTCAAAATTGAGTTCCAAGATTTCACCTGAACATACATACATACAAACATACAATGCAATTCAAATGAAAGCTTTTAATTAAAATCATAGGGCATGGTCAATTGAATTTGTCCTGTTTTTGAATTGTTTAGTAGAGGTCTAGGTAAAGGTAATTTTTTTGTGATTCCTTGAACAACAGGAAACAACAAATTTCCCTTGGACATGTTGAATCTTATGTTTTCCATGAACAAAGATAATATAGGAGTGTATCTGAATTTTTGGTCTCAAGCTATATTTTTCAAGATATTGAGAATTATCAACCACTATTTGAAGAATCATTCACACAATGTTCATGTTGAAATGTTGGAGGTGTTATTGGTGTTGAATTTGCAAGATATCAATCTAGACCAAGGAAAAGCACAAGTATTGAAAGAGAAAAAACTGAAGGCACACAAATCTAGGATTTTGCAGCTTTCAAAAAAGGAACGCAAGGTATACTCTACATTTAGCATCATGTCAAAACATCTAAGTAGTTTGTTTTCTGTTAGAGGCAGAAGAAACTTAAGGAAGTAGAGAAAGAAATGATGGAGACTAAAGCTGAAGAAAATAAGCAAATGAAGCATAAAAATCTCACAGAGATCACAAAAGTTGTTTTTAATATTTATTTCAGAATTTTGAAGATGTCTAGCAACACTAAAGTACTTGGGGTGTGCCTTGAAGGCTTAGCAAAGTAAGTTTTTTCTATATTTTTATTGATTTTTAATCTATCACTCTCATACTACAATCAGTGAAAATTCCAAGATATTTTTTTCAATGAAAAAAATAAACAGAAGATCACAAACTAGTTCTTTATAAAAGAACAGCCCTACCTTTGAACTTCACATACAGTTCTTTCTTGAAGTATGTATGTACTGAGTAAACTCATTTTCAGTGAAACCATAGATTAACATGTCCCCTTAATCTATGGTGAAACTAATTTCTCTCCTGGGACAGGTTGATTTTTATTTTCAATTTGATGCATTTATAAGAGAAAATCAAATATACATGGTGATCCACCTTTAAGTTATGACAGGACAAGAAATAATTCAATGTCAGATTTAGTAGAGAACTAGTCCTTCAGATTTTTAAAATTAGTGGTTAACAGTATGCAGTAGGCTCATATAGATCAAAAGTAGCTATTTGTGTATTTAGAGCACAAAGTGATAGATTGCCGCTCCACAAAAAAGTTACCGCGTGATGCGGAGCGGAGAGCGGCAATGACACTTTGTGCTGGAAATACACACAAGATTTTTTCTGCAAACAGCTTTTGGAAATAGCTGCCCTGAAAGTATGAGCAATTGAAATAGTTCTTATCCATTATCCCATATGTCCAAGGAAAAAAGAAAAAAAAACTCAAATAACTGACAAGTCAGAAAAAAAAATGTCGGGCCAACCGAGAATTGAACCCGGCATGGCAACCTGTGCTTCAGACCTTTGAGCCATAGTACAACAAACTCTGCAATCAAATTGAACATAACTCATTGATGCAGTAAAATAAAGATACACTGTTTTTTTCTGATGATAACAAACAGTTTAAATATACTCAAAGTATAATTTACCCATTTTCACAGATATTCTTCATCAGGAGTTTCTTGTAGAAATTGGTTGGTATATATCTTCAGCGGTGAATGTTTTGGATTTTTTCGTTTTATATCCAATAGATTGTTTCTTGAGAAATGCGATAAGTTTTGGATACTCATTGATTTAGATATTATTTTCAACATTCATGCATGTATACTTATCATCGAATATACAGGGTAACTCACGGTCGATGGTACGTTAGACGTTTATGGAGAACGGGACATAGGATCATTATGAAATTTTGGTTACTCACGTAGTTGCTCTTGGTCTATCGATCTAAAATATTTTCAGCTCTGCGGCGTTGCCGCTTCTATCGAAAAGTAGCAACAACTTTGTTATTTTAAATAGAACACCCTGTATTTTATTGCATTTTCAGATTCTTTCTGAAGAGCTGATTTCATCGATGTATCACACTTGGGGTCTAGCGGAAATGATTACAGAGATATAGGGTGTGAAAAATCGTCATTTTTCAACTTTAGGAATTTTTTTTGTCGAAACTATTCATTATTGGTCAAAACGGCTTACATGTCCCTATCTCAACTTTTGATTAACTATCTACTGATATTTAATTGGGACATATACCGGGTGATCAAGATTCTGAATTCTGCACTGAAAGCGTCAAACGCTACTTTGTTAAGCGTTTGTAGAAGAAAGGTTTTTTCTGATTGCCCTAAAAATCAGGAGCAATTCAGAAACACTAGTTGAGATACATGAAGAAAAAATTCCCTGACAGATTCAGTAGAGAACTCTCCCTTCGGATTTTCAATATTACCGGTTTAGGCTCATACTAGTCCAATCATATTCTTCTCTGAATGCCCTAAAAATCTCAAAAATAGTTATTTTTCTACATACGTCAAAAAATGACAAGGTTTAATAACAAATTGCAAAGTGACAGTATTTTTCGGTTTCTTACATTACCATGACACCATCTGTGAAACAGTGCGCGAAGTACATACTTCGCGCATTGTATGTAAACTAAATGAGATTTTCATAGTTTGTACCTGAGGACGATAGGGAGAGGCCTTTTAAACCAGTTCAACACATTTTGTTTTATTAAGCAAACCATATTACTACTTCAGAACAATCAGAACTATGTTTTTGACGTTTGTTGAAACAATTTTGTTTAGTCACCTTGAATGTTTTCTCAACCCGGCTGAGCCTCGTTAAAAATATCAGTTCTCGATCGCCAGTAGCATTTCTACACTAGATACAAAAATAACTATTTTGCATCTAGTTCGCAAAATGCTACTTTAGTGATCGAAAACTGATTTCTTTAACAGCGAAAAAAGAATCATTGACACTAATTTAGACAGATAAAGGAAGAATATGATGCCAGCTTCAATTTAGATTTTCAAAATTATTGGTTCACGCTCAAGCTCAAAATGTTTTTTCAGATTGCTCTATTTTTTTTTTCAATTGCCATTTTTAGGTATGCTCACTGTTTGAACCTAGAATTCTACGTAGACATCGTAAACGTTCTCGATAAATTGTTGAAAGAAGATTGGCTGGGCTACCGCGAAAAAATGCACTGCATTCAAACGGTGTTCGCCATCTTGAGCGGTCAAGGGGAGGCCTTGAACCTGGACCCCATAAGGTTCTACAACGCCCTGTACAAAGACCTGTTGTCTACCAATGCCGCTTCCAAACACTCCGGACACATGCCGATTCTGTTGAAAACGTTGTCGGACGCTTTGGTCAAAAGAAGGAAAAAAATCACCAACAGAAGAACCGTGGGGTTCGTCAAAAGACTGGCAACGTTGAGTCTACAGGTAAAATTTCATGGAAGCAACAGATTTTCATCTTTTGGAGCACTCGAAAAGGAATCGCTATTATGTTCTAGAACATATTGTGCACATAGGGAGTTGGGGATACTTCCTTTGGCAAATAATTCCATAGGCTCCCTCATAATTTTCATTTTCTTCCAGGTGGCAAGAAATAAATTCAGTTGTGGTTTTGATTATTCATACTTCCAGGAAATTTTCAATTTCTGAAATTTGTGCTTCTTTCTGTGGTCATGTTCTCATTTTCATCTGTTTATTCATTCATTCATGGTCTAGTACATGATAATAGATATTTACCAGATAGGAGATGGGAAATTCAAGATGATAACCACCCATCCATTATGGTATTATGGTAATATTAATTTACAATAGGAATATTGAATATTTGACCTACTACCAAAAACGCTAATTGTTTAATTTAATGTGACATTTCATGAGAGATGAGATTTCCTGAAATAATAACACTATGAAGTCATTATGATATCTATACCGAAAAATACACCGTGTCCCAGATAAAATGTCCCCTGTAAAAAATCAACGGCGCGATCGAATGACTTGAAATTTGGTCACCCAGTATATTTGACGCTTACTTGGAATATGCTATTGAATAAATCGTAGATATACAGGGTCAAGTAATGCTCATCTATTAGGCAGAGTTGTCATTGCTTGAGATGTGACATTTCATGGGAAATGAGAATTTGTGAAATAATAACACTATGAATTCATTATGATATCTATATGGAAATGAAATTGATGACATACAAAGTACCTCATTGATTTATCAAAAATGAGAGCAATTTTGTGTTATAGCCCTAGAGAGAATAGGTACAGACATTAATGGGGGCACTGATTTTTTAAAATGACATTATCGTGAACTCTATACTGAAAAACTACCAGTGAATTAATTTTGAATTTTGTCATTCATGCTAACACGATGGAAAAAATAAATTAGAATATGTCCATTTCAAAACACACAATTCCTGCGCCATTTGAAATTTCATCAATTCATTGGTGTGACTGGTGCGACGTCTTATTCCCAACACGCCTATTGTCCTTGAACTGACCAATCACACTGCAACACTACAGAATGACGAGGTATCAGAGAGAGATAGCTACAGTTCGGGACTAATACGTCACGACTCCACCATCATATTTGGCTGTTTGAAATATCGAATGAAATATGCTGCTTCAAAACGATATAGATTCGATTCCCTTCAACTTTAACTCATAATATTGATTGTACATCAAACGTAAATCATGTTTCGTCGATTGAAAGAGGTTTGAACGGATTTCTTCTCTCAGTGGTCTTCCCCATTCGGTCCGATCACGAAAGTATATAAATTGATATTATGTTTGTAGATTGACAATAATTGTACAGTGTGACCCACTTCTAATGGAATCACCCTTGTATCTTACGTAATCGTTGGGTAAGGATCCTGAAATTTGCTGGAGCTAGAGATATACGAAAAAATATACTCTCGGGGTCATCTTCAGTGATATACACTGCTTGCCAACAGCCATGGAACCACCCCAATTTCCAAAAAATTATATTAGGAGTCAAAATAGGTCGAAAATCACTTCAGATTCGGAATCAAGACGCCCAAAACGAGAAAGTTTAAAGAAACATAATTCAATACAGTTATCAAACGCGAACAAAGAACAATTTCTATTTGTCCAACGTGCGTTTGACGATATCTCAGACTATACAATTCTCTTCCCGAAGAATTGAAATTGATCAATGAACTGCATACGTTCAAAAAAAAAAAAGAGAAATGCATCTCCTCGACCGCTGCCCCTATAATTGAACGAATTTTTTCAATACCCGTTTGTTTACTTAGACTGTATATGTTTTATTGTATTTCATATATCCAAATATTTGTACTGACTTGACTTGTCCGATAGCATATAACTGCTCTGTGGATTAAATAAACTTGAACTTGAACAATAAACTAACTATATTCATATTTTTCCTGGAAAATTTTCAGTTCTGAAAAATTAAATTTTGTCGCAATTTTTACGGAAGCACCCCCGTATCCTACGTAATTGAGTTTATCTTCGGACTTTCCCTTCTGCAAATTTCAGAAACCTCTACCTCAATAATTACGTGAGATACGGGGGTGCTTCCATGAGAAGTGAGACGAAATTTAATTTTTCTGAACTGAAAATTTTCCAGGAAAAATATGAATAGTTAGTAAATTAGGGCGCCCTGATTCCGAATCTGAAGTGATTCTCGACCTATTTTGACTCCTAATAACATTTTCCGGAAATTTGGGTAGTTTCATGGCTGTTGGCGAGCAGTGTATATCACTGAAGATGACCCCACTTGGTCAAAGAGTGCATTTTTGGTATATCTCTCGCTCCAGCAAATTACAGGATCCTTACCCAACGATTACGTAAGATACAGGGGTGTTTCCATTAGAAGTGGGTCACACTGTATGTCTATTTTTAGGAACAATTAGTTCTTTTTTTTTGTTTTGAGGAAAAACTGTTTTTTTTTTCACTTTACCGCACTATTGCTATAAAGTATCATCATGAATCTGAAAAAGTGTCATGTCATGTCACATTACCTATTGGTAGTAGGTAAATATTCATAATGCAAATTATTTGATTGACTGATTCACTCATCACATACTGACCAATCACAAGCCAGAGACAACATGTGCTTATCGCAAAAATATTAGTTGTCTTTCAAATTCTGATTGGTCTATCAGTGTTCATGTTCTCAATGATGTAACCATAGATAGGCAAAGCAATGTGTCAGTTTGGCATAAAATAATTATGGCTGTACTTGTCAAAATGAATCACTCATTTATAGAATAGAATTTATATATATACAGTCTGTCCAAGAAGAGGTTGAATAGCATGGGGATCTCGGAAACAGTAGGAGATACTAAAAATAATTTTCAAAATTTTCGAAGGCTCTTGATATGAGCCTCCGAATGCGCAACTTTTTCCTCATTTAACCGACTTTGTATCTCCTACCGTTTTCGAGATCCCCATGCTGGTCAACCTTATCTTGGACAGACTGTATATAATGAATGCTTTTTATGCTTCATGAACGTGAAATAGTCTAGCAAAACACCACTGTTCTGAATATCTTCTCATAATTCTGTCTTTTATTGTTAACTCAATTGTGTTGCCGTACAGCAATGAAGCAACAGAACTATCTGGAATATTCAGAACATGGTGATAATATTATTTATGATAATGTCCTACTCAAGAGATGCATTCTTCATCTTCTTTCCTTTTGTTTTCAGTTCGGTATTAGTTGGATAGATCTTCATACTAGATTCATGGAAATGATTGGAATTATTTCAATGGATATTCTAGATTGAAAAAGAGATTACCACTATAAAACTAATTTGATGAAGATTCATCAGAAGGAAACTTTCACATTTTCATTGAATAGAAAGGACAACATAGGTCCATTTTTGCACATGTTGCACACAACATTTTCACCAGGAATAAAATTAATATTTTAGCATTTCATGATTTTCTGGAAAGTATTGACCACACCAAAATTCAAATTACGAGATCGGACACATATTTATACACACTTCTTCGATCCAAAGTTCGTATTCACCCTGTATATATCCTTGAAAAAGGTACTCACTCTTCTCCCACAGCAAAAAAAATTACATTTCGTAACCTGTCAACCATAGTGGAAGGAAAAGATGGTGTGCCTACGCGCATATTATGTGACGTCATCTGGGATACCAATATCAGCTGCTAGTCATAGACAGATACCGTTGCCATGGGCGTGCGCAATGAATTCAATCATGTTTTTTGAAATTTCTAGGAGTTTCTCGATCTGTTTAGAAATAAGTCAATTTATATAAACAGGAACCTATTCTTTCGATTTTACCGTTTCCTTGATTCTGGAAATTGTGATCTTGAGGTAATTCGCAATCGCAAATACATACGAATTATCATGCATTGCCAATCTTATCTGAATGATCGACTACTGTGTCGAATCTTCAACATTCAACAGTTAACGACGTTGACGTTGCTTCTGCTCCGACATCGACAACAGGAGTATCAATTTTTGCCGTTTTGTTATTCAAATCTTTGCTGCAATTCATATTTTGTGAGAAATTAGGAGTTTTGAATTCATTTTCAATCATTTCTGACTTGATATTCGACGGAAGATGTTCTGTAGGAATGGCATCTTGTTTCAAATATTTGTGATTTTTTGTCAAGAACCGTACTTTCGCAGTTGTTTGGGAACATTTTGCATGGAAATGTTTTGAAGAAATATGTGCTGTAATATGAATATGATAATATAATGGGAGAATACTTTGGAATGAGGATATAAGGAATATAAGGTAGGTACCATTATTTGAGTTTATATTCTGTCGGCAGCAAGCTCCCATCGTTTCATTAGGTCTCCATTCTTGGAAAAGCAGAATAATTCAAAATCGGTGCCTTCTGTGTGTTAGTTGGAATTTCCATAACCGGAAACGAAACAAGTGGGCATTTCTAAATTATTTCATACAATTTTAGTACTTATTTAATATCTGAAGTTCCGAGACATCAATCATGAAAACAAATAATAACAATGACAGTTATATCCCAGCTGACGTCATGCGCAGAACAAGACGAGTTTGAGCTTTCTGTTGAGCACACCATCTTCTCCTTTCACTATGCCTGCCAACAGATATTAAATGTCAATTTTTTCCCGTCAGAGAATTTTTTTTTTCCACTACTAAAGAGATGTCCCTCTCGTTCGAAATTAGTTCGTAATCGGAGAAAACTCTTACAGTTGACACATGACAGCACCTTGGGCTGCCTAGGCCTCATCAGAACCATAATGCAGCACAACAGATCGGTGGACATTCTGCTGGACTTCGATTCCTCGATAGGCGAGGGCAAGTTCCAAGCCGATCTGGACGATCCCGAATACTCGAACTCGGCCAGCACCGGCCTGTACGAGATGTTGCTGTTGAGGAAACACTATCACCCTGTAGTCGGCAAATTCGCGAGTAATATCGCCAGCGGGGTACCTGCCTCAGGGGAAGGCAGTTTGCCAGGAGAATACGCCAAAAGGTGAGCAAGGCATTACTGTTTCGGTTCACTGTGCGCCATCGGTCGCACTCGGTGTGTGACGAGTGATAGTCGAATAGGCCATTCTACGCAGAATGTGGAGCATGTTGGAACTAATTCGCGATATCAAATTCAATATTATTGGCAATACGAACAAAATGCCTGTACTAGATATTCACATTACCTCTAAATTTTTTTCCTACACCTCAATCTTTGTTCAACAATTCTATCTTTCCTTCAATCAGAATGATTTTTAAAAAATACGAATATTTCAAACTCTAAAAAAGTTTGACTTATACTGTCGGATGGCGCCAATAAAAGAATATTGGGATCAAAATGAAATTTGTTACACCTAAATTTCTACACTGTATTATTTTCAATCAATTTTCAGGATGAAGGTTCTCGTTAATTGAAGAATTAAAAATAAAACTGATACCATGGGAATATTCCTCTGAATATTCCTTAACTGTATTGTACTATAGTCTGTTCGTTTAAAAGGCGAAGTAATGGAATGTGGCAATGGAATGTTGTCGCAAATTTTCAAAGAGAAATCTTCCAGAGTAACCACTAGAGCGGCGTTGATATTTCATGAATTATACGTATAACCTTTTTCTGGGTAGAGTCGATTTTGCCGCTTTAATACAACAAAGTACGGACTACGAGGAGCTCCGAATTTCCGACAAACGCGCGGCTGGGGCAGGCCTTTCGCCGACAAACGCGCCGCTTCGCCGGCCTAATTAAGTTAAAGGAAATAATAGGCACTCCGAGTTTTCATGGGTGTAGGGAAGATAACATAGCATGGGATCAACGTTAGTTGTGAAGATTGGTATTTTTAATGCCTTTTTCATTGACAAGTGATTCGTGACACATGTAAGTACGCTTTCCGACCTGCCTTGTGTTGAGCAAGATGGACACGTTTTTATAATATTTCGAGTTATCGCTGATGTGTGCCTGACAGTTCTCAAAGCTGGTTTCCGCCTTGATATTGTTGAGGCTTGGGGATAAAATGAAAACTATCACAATTTTCAATTTCATTAGGTAATATCTATAGCAACTTGTTATCATTCTCATGTGGGTATATTATCACTAATCCATGTGTTTCATGTACTCATTTACTTTACTTCCAAGTAATTATAGGACTATAATCATTAGATGTATGGCTGATGATAGTCATATATATTTCCGAAACATGTAGCCCTGTTGATTGATCTGCTACTCACATAGGAGGTAATTATTTAGTATAGTTTTGATTTCACTCCACTTTGATAAACCAGAGACTTCTACCAAAGATACTGAAATGAGCAAAAAAAAATGAAAATAGTCGGTCACCCACACACCATAATTATCATCTTATTGAGAAAGGGCCATCACGTACCAAATAGTTAGTAAATTAAATAAGGCCCCAAAAGAACTGTTTCTTTTTCTTCAGTCACACCAATTGACATATGGAAATTTCGAACGCAAATATCTTCGTGATCATCTGAAATAACCCTATCGAACCTGGTATCGTTGGTTTCGTCATAATAATCCCTTACCGATTATGGGATACAATACAGATAGAATAAAAATAGTTTTGTTGATGAATGAGCAATTTGGTATACTTGCTATCCACATTTTCGAAATCTGATCTAGAATGATTAGGAAGATACAGCACTGGCCGTTTATTGTGCACTTCTCTGTATAATGTTAAAATTATTCACTAATACCTTTTCGCATACGATTATACAGTTAGGACGATTGTTTTCTAACAATCAAGGCAGGACATCTCTGGTGTTTCAACAACACCGAAACAACCATGAATTGCTTTCATAGTTGACAGCAATCTTATTCCAAAGACACTTCTAAAATATGCAACTGAAAATGATATGATATGAGCGAGCTGAATTCATCGCTCTGAATTACAAATGTTTTCCGATTTATCGTTGGTCAAGCCCAAAAGCAGCAATCAATGGTACGCCCATGGTTGGTTTGGCACATTCCATTACTTCGCCTTCCAACCGAACAGACTATAATATGCTGAATATATGTACTTATTTGAAAAATACCTCGCATGGGCATGTAGTGAGTACACGCCTATAACAAATATTTTTTTGAATTATAATGCGTTCCATCAATATAGTTGAAACTGCGTTCTTTGAAACGAACCACCTCAAACTTTTGAGGATTTTAGATCGTTTATTTCATGTCCTGTGATTTCATTTTACCTTTCATGTCTCGAGTTTGTAAATCAGTGTCAAGATGTTTGTTTATTTCTTCTGACTGTTTTTTTATATAACATAAACAAGACATTACCATTTCGGTCCACCGTGTCTCATCAGTCACACTCGGTGTGTAACGAGTGGGAGTGGAAAAGACCATTTCACGCAGAATGTGGCCTCAAAACTAATTCGGGATATCAAATTAAATATGATTTTATTCACAACACGAACAAAATGCCTGTATGAAATGTTGCTGTTGAGGAAACACCATCACCCTGTAGTCGGCAAATTCGCAAGTAATATCGCCAGTGTGCCAGGAGAATACGACAAAAGGTGAGCGAATGGTCAGTTACTGTTTCGGTTTACCGTGTCCCATCAGTCGCCCTCGGTGTGTGGCGAGCAGAAATGAAATTATCTCCACTTCCATTCCGAGTGCGATCTAGACGATTATGGCAATTTAGTGGAGTTTTTCGATCTGAGCCACTATTAAACAGTTGAATATTTGGAAATTGCGAATTTATACTTTTTCTGCCCAAAAATATGTGCTGTATAGATTTACAGTTAGGAAATCTCCTCAGCAATATACGAAAAACTTGTATTCACATTTAAACTTTTGGCAGCGTGTAGCAGCTTTCCTGTAGCAACAAGGCATTTTATAACATGCGGTTGAATGAATATTTACATTGGACTGATGAGGATTAGTATGTTTTAACACTTACATAATAAATGTAAACACTTAGTTTTAGTTCATTCATTTTTAATTTGACTGAAGTTGAAAAAAATCAACTGATTTTCAATCATGATCTCAATCATTTGATTCAAATCATCGTATATCGATTCTCCATCATGAGATTCAAATCGTCACAACCCTGTCAGGTGTATAATTTCTCCAAATAAAATGGCTTCCTTTGAAAAACGTTATTCAGTGCTTCATTTCAATTGGCTTTTTGTTCTAGTACTGCAGTGCAACTTTATGAAGATTTTGATATGTCAGAGATGGCATTCAATCCACCTGTCCCTATTCCGAAAAAGGAGCAGCCAAAATCGAGGCCAAAAAGGCTGCAGTTTGTAGACAGTCCATTCGAAAAAGAGTGTAGGAATATTTTAAGGCAATCGACGAAAAAAGAAGATTTTTTCTGGATAAATAACAGTTTTTTAACAATGTGATATCATCCTAACAAGTTTCATTCTCAATAAAATATGTCCATGAAACGTTTTGATTAGTTTTATTATAGCATATGGAAAATAAAACACAAACTATGCATATGAATATTTATTTGAAAGGCAAAATCAAGTCTGTAAAAAAGTTAAGAAGACAATATGAAATATAGCAATTATCGATGATTATTATTATTAGAACAAAAGGTGAATGAAAAATGTATCCAGTGCAAGTGCACACACTGTATGTGGTCAACAAAATATCAATATTTTCGGTACTACAAGGGTTTGCAAAAAAACAACAATTTCTTTTTCCTCGAAAGCACAATCTTTGCGCAATACCAAAAATGTGCGTGCCGTTTTTTTTGCGAGCCATCGTAGTATCGGAAATAGCAAATTCAATTGTATCAGAATACATGATAAATCAGTAGAAATCAGTGAAGAAATGATTTGCGAATTATTATTCTCAAATGTCACCAATAGTTGAGTTCTGAGAAGTCAGTGGTTATAATATAGGACAATCGTTGAAAATATTGTTAAATTCATAGTTATTCACTACTTTCTATCAACAGAAAAACAATACGCGGTGAAATATTGATGAGAATTCAAAGGATATCGAATTGTCAAGTAGAAAGACGCTTAAGGTTCTATAATATGCTCCCATACGATATCAAAGAAATCAAAACCTTCACTAGTTTAAAAAAAAAAAACATATAATCAATATTAGTCACAATAGAACCTTATAAAATAGGGGATATCAATGAAGCAATTATATCCCTTTGTCACAATAAGGGAAGATAAGGAAAATATGCACATCTCTCAGAGGCTTCTTGATTTTTATAATTATTTGTATTCTACTGTATGTATTTCACTTGTATTAAACATAATGTAATGTTCTGTCCCTAATACTAAATGAATTCTATTCTATTCTATTGTTATAGTCATGTAACAGTTGATGTGTAGTCATGTTTCTGTTGAGATACGTAAAAGAAATGGAATCCAGGGATGCTAACAAGGTGATGTTATAGTCATGTAACAGTTATATACGAAAAATAAGTAGCAGATATGGCATCCACGAATGTTATCAATAGAAGATATATAGTTAGTTATATGTTATCAAGACTGATCGAAAACAAAGGAATTTCGATTGACCATCAAAGAAAGCCTCAAGCCTCATTATTTTTTGTTTGTTTGTGAGCCATCTTAGTATAAGGAATAGCAAATTCGATTGTAGATCAGTAGAAATCAGTGAAAGGATGATTGGCGAGTTCTTATTCTCAAATGTCACCAATAATTGAGTTTCGAAAATTCAGCAGTTATAATATAGAGAAAATATTGTTAAATTCATAGTTATTCACTACTTTTTTAATAGAGAAACAATACACGGTGAAATATTGATGAGAATTCAAAGGATATCGAATTGTCAAGTGGAAAGGTGATGTTATAGTCATGTAACAGTTGTTGATGTTGTAGTCATGTACAGTTCTGTTGAGATACGTAAAAGAAATGGAATCCAGGGATGCTAACAAGGTGATGTTATAGTCATGTAACAGTTATATACGAAAAATAAGTAGCAGATATGGCATCCACGAATGTTATCAATAGAAGATATACAGTGTGTCCCACTTACCATGCTCACCATGGGTATCTTTTTAACGGTGAGAGATACGAGGTCGGTTAAATGACACCAAATGTGGAGTTTGTCAAGGCCAACTATAATGTGAAAAAATATTTTGATAAAATCTATTTCGTTTTTGTTTTATACGCAAAAAACAGATTTTGATCATTTTCATGTCTCCTCCGTAACTTCTTTATTAAAGAAAATATTCAAATAGGAATTTCCCATTCTCATGGCAGTTTTTCAGAGAGATTTCGAAAAAAATATGATATTTATACCAACTCTTCTAGAATTTGAGATATCAGCAATAACTTTAGTTTTTCAAATGTAGGTCATAGCTCACTATGACTTAGTTACAAATAACTTTTTTTTTCTTACAGATGATATGTCGCAGTAATAGTTTTGTGTTGATAACAAAGGAGTTATCGTCATTTATACAAAAACAAAAAATCATTTCGAAGCCGCCATCTTGAATTTATAAATTTCAACAAAAAAATCATGATCTCCGTCCTCAAAAACCCCCACTCATCAATTTTGAATGGAATCGGACCAAATCTTGTCCGCCATCTTGGAGCAGCCATTTTTTTTTAATTTCAACAAAAATTCCATACCTCCGATTAACTTGAAATTTGGCAGATGTTCATAATTTCGGTGACAATACATTATGGATCTTAGGATAAGGAATATCAAATTCGATTGTATCAGAATACATAATAAATCAGTAGAAATCAGTGAAAGGATGTTGGCGAATTCTTATTCTCAAATGTCACCAATAGTTGAGTTTTGAAAATTCAGCAGTTATAATAAATAACCATCGTTGAAAATATTGTTAAATTCATATTTATTCAAAGGATATCGAATTGTCAAGTAGAAAGGTGATGTTATAGTCATGTAACAGTTGATGTTGTAGTCATGTACAGTTCTGTTGAGATACGTAAAAGAAATGGAATCCAGGGATGCTAACAAGGTGATGTAATAGTCATGGAACAGTTATATACGAAAAATAAGTAGCAGATATGGAATCCACAAATGTTATCAATAGAAGAAATATAGTTATGTCATTAAGAGTGATCAAAAATAAAGGAATTTCGATTGACCTTCGAAGAAAACCCCATTGTTTTCCGAGAAAAACCTTATAATTTTGATCACCCTAGGATGTCTAATAATGCAGTATATTTATCACGAAATCAGTATTTTTCAGGCGCTACTTCGTAAACTTACCAACTGATTGCTATCATCTCTCTCTCACTCTCTCTCTCTCTTTAATCCACATCATTTTTTATTTTCACTGTGTCTCTGCACCATCTTCCGTTTATGAAATTCTATTCTGTCGTTTCGGGTTGAGACATTTCGAACATGAAATGAAGATAAAAATATATTGATTCCATGGAAAATCGTAACATATAAATCCACCAATCATAGCAATGGTTATACACGATAATCCACTATTTGAAAAATAAAAACATTCAAATATCGCCGTAGTTACATAAAAAAATAAAATATTACCCCACGATCATCTATAATTACAATTGTCATACAAAGGAATACATAATCATTGACACTAAAAACAATAAAAAATATATGAAATGGTGAAAAAATTTGATATCAATCACGAAAAATTGTTGTTGAGAACAATTTGATTAGATCAATCCTGGCTTGACTTGAATGTTCAGAATTGGATAATAAGATATTTCATCATAAGGTAAGAACTGTTTCCACAGAGAGAGAATCAATTTGGTAAACTTTTTGTTATTCATTCTTGAAGATAAAAAAAACAGGAACGTTTTTTTGTGTTGATAAGGACAATCAATCATTTATAAATTATCTTAAAAACAACCTAAAAAGTCAAACAAATAAATGTCACTAGTCGTTTGCTTTGATATAAATACCATGAATGCTCAGGTACGTCGCGAGGTCGAAAGATTATTTTCCCTACGAGCGTGCGCAAAGTAGACTTTTCTGCACACATTTTCGTTCGCAAAGTTACACTTTTCCGCACTGAATGCGCAAAAGTAAAACTACTCAAGAATCTCACTGGTATGCCTTTTTGCATTGAGTCAACC